TAAAAATTAAGATTTTCTGTTCAATATAGGATGTCATCGACAAAGTTAAAAGAGGTTACAGACAAAAATATCAAAAACATCCAAAACTGATAAGAGATTATTATCTACAACAAAAAGATTAAATGCAATTGAATAATGAGCAGAGATGAATAGGCAACTCGCAGAAGACTACCCATAACCTTTCTTGCGGTAATAAGAAATTGGAGGCAATCTAGGTGTCTACCTCCAGAGAAAGAGATATGTAAACTGTGGTCGATATATAGTGTGGAATACTATGCAGCGATAAGCAACACACAGGATGTCCACATAGCAACACAGACAAATCTAAGAAAAGTTAGAAAAGTAGGAAACAGCACGGTTTATAGCCCCAGACCATTTGTATGAATTAAATATGTACACACACGAAATAACACTGTTTTAGAAGTATACATGGATGGCAAAGGGCACATATCAAGTGGGCACCTATTAAACACAGGAGACTGGGGACTAAGGAAGGAAGGAGAAACTGAATTTATAATAAAGTGAGGGAATGAGTTCTTGTACTAAGTGATGATGACCACGTGCTATGAATTGAGGCCCCTGATTAATGCATTGCTTTGCATTTGAGGTATGATAAAGCAAAAATAAACTACATACAACACATACATATAGTTTGGAGCTGGAGTGTCCATCTGGCTATGACGGGAGAGCCTGAGGTTGTCAGAGGGCTATCTGTGAAATCTGACACTTTGAATGCCAGCGCAGAGACAGGCCTAGATCCTGATGACATTGAATTACTGGATAAAGCTTCATGTATACCAGGCTTACCTCTAGACTACTCAGTTATATGAACCAAAAGATTCCCTTTACTGTTTTGTTTAACAGACTTTAGTTTTTAGAGAAGTTTCTCTTTACTTTTTAAGCCAGGGGTTTGACATCTGCGATCAAAGAATTCTGATGTTTATCCACTTCTGTACTTCAAGTATTAAAAAAAGGAAAGTTTTTTTTAAAAACACTATGGCTTCACCTCTGTAGTTTGGGAAGTTAGGAGAGCAAGAGGAAGCATGAATTTAAGAAATGAATTTAAGAAAAAAGGCAGAAGAGAGAGAGAATAACATAGCCACCACTAATGAGCTCTTATGTGCTAGGCACTGTGCTAGGTGCTTTCCGTATCTAGTCTCTAATTCAGCCGCACCCCCCACCACTGGGTATCACCACTGTAGAAATAAGGAAACAGGCTAAAAGGAGCTAAGCATCTTGTCTAAATTAGTGCCACAGCTTCATAGTAGGGACTTGGGAACCCATCTGTCTGATGTCAGCCTGTTCTCTTTCATGCTATACCACCTACTAGGAAAAAAGAGAGTGGGGAAATGGGAGAGGGACAGACATAGGGACACAGAAGAGGTAAATATACAGACAGAAAAACTAAGCCATGTCAAGGCACACACTGATAGGGGAGAGCATCGTTTTTGAGGTAAGGACCCTCATGACATACCAGAGGATACTGGCATCAGAGAGGGCCATCCTTCAAAAAAGCTCATGATCTCACTTGCCATGTAATTCAACCCGCAGTGTGCCCAGAATCAGCTCTTCTGCTTTGATTTCCAATTTTTCAAAACCCTTTTAAGCAAAAGATTTCTCAAGGATTTCTCAAAGCTTGACTTGGATAAGAAGCAATGTCAAAGATTCCAGACACTGACTTTCACATCTAGTATGTCAGGTCATTATTACCTGTGACAGAATGAACTTCTGTCTGCGTGATGTGCATCCACAGGATATTACAGTTGGCCTTGTGATAGTCATCTAAATGCTCAATTAAAAACAGATACAATAAATAGTGCTGACACCACAAGTATGGAAAACTGTGAGCTGTCAAAAAGAACAGACCCCCATGTGCTTATGGGGAATAATCTCCAAGATAACTGAAAAAGAAAAAAAAAATACCAGTACCGTACAGCAGGGTATGTTTGCTAAATTTATGTTTAAGAGTCAGGGAACTGAAGGAATCAGTAGCAGTGGTTGCTCTGAGAAAAGGAAAGAGGAATCACGGCTAGGAAAGACAGGCTTTGCACTCAATGTATGCCCATGTACTTGGTACTTTCTTTTTCCCCCAAGTGCAAGGATAATCTGCTCCCCACCAAAGCATCTTTATTTTTTAAATTTAGTAGGCTCCATGCCCATCGTGGGGCTTGAACTCATGACCCTGAGATCAAGAGTTGCATGCTCTACCGACTGAGCCAGCCACTGCCCCCAGAACTCTTTTATTTTTTATCAAGGTAGTTCACTGTGTCTTCCCTCCAAAGCAGATCCAATTTTGGGATCTAGCAGGATCTGAGCAGAAGAAATAAGGTCTTTTCTTTTCCCTTCTCCGAGTGATGAGACAAGGAATCTTTCCCATTTCTTTCTCCCTTTCTTCAACCAAGCCCACCTGTTTGTTTCTTAAAAACAAAAAACCCCCTTTCTCATGTCATCCACGTTTGTTGAAAATACTTTTCGGTAAAAGGATAGAGAAAAAGCGCTCATACCACCTCTCTTTAGATTTTGGAGAGTTAAGTCTTCCTATATATTTTTCTGTGCCTATGTGAATTTACACTTATAACTGCTCTTTCTTAATGCCTGGACATCTTGGCCATTTCTTATTTTTAAAATTTTTTATTTAATATCATTATTTTTATTTACTTAACCAATCCTAACATGGCATTAGACTGTTTCAAACTTTTACATCATTGCACAGAAATCTTTGTACAATCCATTTTCCCCTTAGAATCAACTTATAAAAGCAAAGTAACTCCATCGCCAATTTGTTACCTTTGCCTTAGAGCTCCATCTGTAGTTGCTGTTCCATGCAATCGTGTCCTAGCCAACCACTCTCCCGTCCCAAACCTCAGGTCTGATACAATTTCCTGCCTACGCGGACAGTGTAAAACATACTTCCTGCTCCATATATTTTTCTATACTCTTGAAAAACCCCACCCTCTGGACCCCTGACCCTCATTCAACCCTAGAAGATTGGTTGCATTTTTCTACCTGATTACTTGTTGGCTCTCTAAAGTTTATTCTGAAATCCTTAACTCCTCGAGCTAAGTATCTTCTTAGAAACTTTTCTAAACTACAGAATATAATAAATAATAAAAGAGAACTAGTTTGAATGATAAGAGCTAAGGCTTACTAGTGCAGATTCCTACGTGTCACCGTGCTAAGTGCTTTACATGCCTTATATAATTTGTTAATTGGAGTCACATGAAAAAAATTCCATGGTCAAATAAGCTTGGGGAAATTATAGATTTAAAAGTATCTTGCTTACAGGGGCACCTGGGTGGCTCAGTTGTTTGACCTCAGCTCAGGTCTTGATCTCAGAGTCACGAGTTCAAGCCCCACATTGGGCTCTACACTGGGCATGGAGCCTACATTAAAAAAAAAAAAAATCTTGCTTACAATAACACCTTTAATATGTTAATACACATTTACAAGATGGTGACAACATAGTTGAGTGTAGTCAAATAAAAACAATTATCTTTAGGGGTTATTACTTCCCAAGAACTGGCTTTGGCAAATCTGTCCTTAAAGGTTGTTTTGTAGTAAAAACAATTGCAGCCTATCCTCCTCCCCCATGCATGAGGACCATCCCTTTTAACGGTTCTTCCTGTTAATGATAAAGCAGTAAAAATACATGTAAGTAAAAGAAAAAAGAAAAAGCACTCATACAACCACTTTTTATATTTTGGAGTGTAAGTCCTTTCTCGTATTTTCTATGCATATATACAAACACACTTACAAATGATAAACTGTACAATTTTCCAACAAGTTGCTTTCTATCTCTTTATCCTTTCCCCACTCCTTCCCCAGAGTTCTAAGGTTGACTTCTTTTTCTACCCTTTATCTTTTTTTTTTTTAAGATTTTATTTGAGAGAGCGAGCATGAGAGTGAGGAGTGTCAGAGGGAGAAGCAGATTCCCTGCCGAGCAGGGAGCCCGATGTGGGACTCGATCCCGGAACTCCAGGATCATGACCCGAGCCGAAGGCAGTTGCTTAACTAACCCAGGTGCCTCTCTACCGAAGTCTTCTACGAGGAAGGATTTAAATGACCACTTCTTTTTTTTTTTGTCATTTATTTTTTAAAAATTTTGAAGTAATCTACCCAGTGTGGGACTTGAACCCACTCCTCTGAGATCAAGTCACATGTTCTACTGACTGAACCAGCCAGCCTCCCCCAAGGATGATCACGTCTTTTATTTTTTTTTTTAAGATGTAAATTTATTTTTATTTTTTTAAAGATTTTATTTATTTATTTGACAGAGACACAGCGAGAGAGAAGGAACACAAGCAGGGGGAGTGGGAGAGGGAGAAGCAGGCTTCCTGCTGAGCAGGGAGCCCGATGCGGGGCTCGATCCCAGGACCCTGGGATCATGACCTGAGCCGAAGGCAGACGCTTAACGACTGAGCCACCCAGGCGCCCCAAGGATGATCACTTCTGCAAATAATTCCCCCATCTACAGTTCAAGCCTTGAGCCTGGTAGCGCGCGTGCACACACACACACACACGCCCTATAACCCAAAGGAAGAACCTAGTGAGCCTGTGTTCCAGGACTCCCAGTCTGGCTTCTACTAATCCCAGTATACACCACACACCAGCCTAGTCTCTTTCCTGCTTCTTCCTGACTCTGCTCAGGACATTCCCTGTTCCTTCTTCCTAGCCAAATCCCACTATCCTGAGACCTGGCTCAAGTGCCATCCAATTGAAAGTCTTCCCAGATCTCTCCAGTCCAATTTCTTCCCTGCTCTGAACTCGTATGTCAGGCAGCAATGGACCACACCTTTGTGATAAATTTTGAACTGTTATCTTTTAACATGTCATGAGATTGCAGAGTGTTTGTTAATACACTGAAGGTGGGGACCCTGCCCTTTCCTTCTGTTTCTGATAGCGCTCAGCACAGTACAACACAGACAACAGACACTCAACCACTACTGAAAGAATGAGGTACTAAAACCCAAGTTAGCCAAATAATACAACAGACACGAGAATAATATGTACATTCCTCTTTATTTAATACAACACATAACACATACAAAAAGAAAAAAACACTCATGTAAAAGGTCCTGTCACAGAAGGATAGACAGGAAACATCTACACTGAATCAAATAAGGCTCCTGCTTTAAAACAGGGGTTTGCTAGCTATACCTGGAATATGAGCAAGGCTGTTGCAAAGAAAAAAAAAGAAAAGAAAAGAAAAAAGAAAAAAAATTCCCTGCACTGAAGGAGTATATCCACGGGGGCTAATTTACTAACTTCACAGACCCATATTTAGGAATGTTTAAGCCCTCTCACATATCCAAAATTCATCAGGGTTTTATGAAATGTGTGATTATTTTTTGGTTAAAAAAATTTACCTGTCCTTCTTTCTTCTTAGAAAATAGTGACAAGAGCTCTCTAAAAACTAGAGACCAGCAAACCACCCAGAGTTTGGAAAGCGTTACCATTAAAGTTCACAGGGTGTGCAGAACAGAGAATGCAAAGGCAAGATGGCAGTGGGAAGAAGAATTTCCTGGCAGCCCATATTCAATCAACCACGGGGAAAGACAAAATGGAAATACCTAGGCTCAGTGCAGGGTTCAGTAGCAGCAGTTTGTCCATATTCCTGCTCTAAGTAGAGCCGGAAATTAAACAAGCACCAGTTCGTCTCAAAAGAGCCTTATACAAACACACACACATACATACCCACACCCATCCACATGTCATCACCAACCCCTTTTATTTAAATTTATTATTATTTTTTTTTTTTACTAAAATAATACAAAAAAGGGAGACAGGTATATTTACAAAAATCCATGGCTGGTACAGTACATAATTTTTAAGACACACTAAATGCTACAATCTTTCAGGTCCTGAGATTATTACAAATATCAACTCAAAGCTGTGTTCAGGTCCAGTTTTAAAGGAGGAAAAAAAAAATCCCAAAATATTAAGTCACACCCTTATTTAAAATACAGCATATCCCTTCAAGTTAGCACAAACGCACCTCCCTATAAACAAATGCAAGAGAGTAATCAGTGCCCTTCACCCAGAGGAGCTGCGCTTCTGTAGGCCCCTTTCTTCAAGGTCGGCTGTGGAACATGTTGGCCGCTCTGTCAAGTGTGGAGGCGGCTGAAGTAAGAGGAGGATGTGTACCTGGAGGGAAGTTCCTCTAGAGAGGGAACGTTCACTGTATCAGTAAGTCCTGTTTTTCCTTCTGTTACCAAACAAAAGTCTCTCCCTTATCAGAATTCATACCACAAGTGTTGGAAATATGTGCTTACCCAGACTAAAAATCAAAATCCTTATTCCCAGTTATAGCAAATAATTGGTCTGCAGTCCCACAATAATTTTACAACTGCAAATAAACTTTCTTGCTTGTAATAAAAGAGAGAAAACACCTATCACTTAGTTACCTTGGTAGACTTTGATTAACATAGTATTTGGGGCACAAAATTCTCACCAGCCAGAGATTTCTTTTCCTTTTCTTTTAAGCTTGACAATCATGTTTAGGCAAAACACAAGGGCAAGCCCCAGATTACATACTCTTCTTAAGGACAATTTGGTATTTTTGATACTTTCTATAATTTTTCAATGACAGCCAACAAAAGGACAATACAAAGCTTGAATCTTTTCTGTGGCCGGCCATAGATCAGAGGAAATTATGTGTAGGTTGGAAACCTACCTCTACTGGTGGAAAGGCCCCTTGATTATCGGAAAGTCTCAGATGGTATATGTAATTAATTATGTAGGCATAGCCAGGATTTAAAAAGTCAGCTAAAGACGGCCAACTTTCTAACTAACTATATAAAACAGCAATACTTTTATCAGCTGAGAATAATTTGTCTTTTAGTGTCCCTAGCCAAAATCAGGGTAATCCTTGGTAGTTTTGCAGGCATGGGAAAGAAAAACTCTTATGTGCTGGTCCAGGGCACACTAACCTTGCAAACAGCACAAAATAGCAAACAAATGAGGAAAGGTTATGGCCGCAAGGACAGAAAATACAAGATAGGTAAGGTCTGACAAATTAAAGGCAGGCTGTCACACAGAAAAACATGCTGACTGGCTGGTCTCAGTTACTGCTGACTCTTAAATGTGCTTAGAGGGTAGATGGAGTTGTTACCTTCAAAAACAGAAGTATTTTCCAAGTTATCTTGAGTAATAGTTATCTTTTTTGTATTTCATTTAGGTTTCCATTAGCGCTCTATTATAAAATATTTTAAAACTAGATTTAAGATAAAATAGAATTATATTATCATTAGCAAAATGGGAGCAAATAATGTACAGAGTTTTCTGAGGAACATAAAACTGGTTCTAAGAATTTATATGGCCTGTGTGACACAGACCTTTGCAAAGCAGGTTTATTCCAGGGGAAGTGTATGAAAATAAGCAAGGCAGAGTATTATGAGAAATAAGAACCCTTAACAAAGGTCTGCATCTCTTTTGAATAACCTTGAAAAGTATTAAGAGGAAGCCATGAATTGTAGCAACCACACTGAACAGTAGTAGAGAAATCTAGTTTTTAATAAAAGGTAGAAGAGAAAAAACAATTCCAGTCACCAGTGAACTTGATTCCAAATCCTGGACACACAGACCCCTTTAATTATACTACTGAGATTTCTGAAAGTATCCTTGACCTGTTTGGGAAACAGTTTGGAAAACTGCTAACCCACTATAAATGGCAATATGTAAGAAAGATTGAGAAGTTAAAGAATTATAGTATGAAGAAATTAAATAAAGATCACAAATAGCTACTTTCAAGCAAATGATACTTCGGGAGAATCTGAGAAAAATGTAATTTTTCATTTCAAAGTTGTTCAAAGGCAGTCTGATGATAATCCTCCGAGTCCCTGTCTGAGTCTATGCTAGGATAGGAACACTGTCCTGGACCATGCCTGCAGTCTTCACTTCTGAATGCAGTGAAGACCCAGGAAAGACAGCCAGAGTGAGTGAGAAAAGGAAGTGAAAGTCTAACCTTTTCTCTCAGGACTCTTAACAATATGCAGTGGATATTCTAGTGTAGCAACTGGCTAATGAAATGGTTAATTTAAGAGCTCAAATTAGAGGTAAGAAGGAAGAAAGAAAGAATTCAGCAATAAATATTCAAAGCTATTTTTAATTAAGAGTCTGACCAACTGTTCAGCTCTACATACCTGAACACTGTGCCACAGAATCTAGAATTTGTGATTTGTTCCTCACTCTCTACATTCCAGAACTTTCTCAGAATTAAACACTGGGATGATTTCATCTTAACAACCCAAAGACATTCCATGATTCTCACTACAGTTTTGCACCAGTAAAATTAAGTTTTTTTGAATATAAAGTTCACATTTTAGGATAGATGAACACACAAAATATCTCTATTTTATGTTCCCTAGAGGAACAAACACACATTCAACAAAACCCTTATGCCTTATTTCTTTGGGTAGAAGTCATTTAACAGCTGTATTTGAAGAATGGAAAAAGAGGGAAAGTATGGAAAATAAAGAGTATGTTTATCTGCATAGTTGATATTTAGAGGTTACTAACTAAGGCTTTATCTTGAAAAAAGCAATAAAAAACCAAAAAGGGATTTTTAAGACAAAAACATCCTATCGCTAGAGATTAAACGGGCCTTGGCCGATTGTGGGAATTAACCCGGATGCTTTGTCTGCTTGGGCCTGGTGCTTACTCTTGACTCACTTGAGCTGGGTAATTTGTTCTTCACTCTCTACATTCTCTTTCCTGACCCTGAATATGTGCTATAATTTAAATCTACACACACTCTCTAACAATTGTTGCTTAGCATTTAGCCCTAACTACAAACGCAGCATCCATTTTTTTCCTGTTGCTGTTGTTGTTTGAAACGATAAAGGAAAATTCTAAGTCTTGCTACTTAACATGCCAGGATGAGAGGTGGGATAAAACGATCTTCATTCCTTCCTCAGAGATGGGCAAAACATGTTTCCTTCTATCCCTCCCCTTCCTATCCCACGTCCCAGCTAAGAAGTGAATCCTGCCTCCCCTCTCCCATTGTCCTACAACCTGAGCAGTGGACGGCTCCGACTCTTTCACGGGTGGAAGAAGCCTAAGTTACACACAGGTAGACTGGCTAACGTCTACCCCGCTGACTGTAGTGCTTGCCCCATAGGCACGAAGCCGGACAGACCTGTAGTGACAGGATTAGGACACAATCTCTGATGCACAAGAATGAGGAGACGCCCATTCACTCCTGAAAGGTTAAAAGCTTAGCTATCCATCACCAGACAAGTGGTATAAGGAAATTAGATTGAGAAGATGGGAAAGTGAGGCAGATAAAACTTGCAGGGTCATTTATCAACTCCAATAACCAATCACCCAAACTCTACCTAGCTGTAGCCCCACAACCTTGGCAGAAAGCACAGATGTATTAACATCCTAAAAGGCTAAAAAACCAACTACTTATAATTAAGAAACTTAGTGTTACTCCCCCCCAACCCTTGTTAACCTGAAACTAACCATTTTAATCCCACCACAAATATGTTTAAATAATCTGCATCTAAAGTAGAATTCCAGTGATTATTCTTTAAACTTAAAAATCATATGGTACTTTTTATACCCATCATAGGGAAACATTTTTTAGCCTCTGTGGAAAGATGGTAATACTTTTTTAATTATATAGGATATTTTAGAAAAACTCAAAGTATTTTTGAAATAGTAAAGTCTCTGATATCCCTGGGAGGTAGGTGAATATTATTATACCCAATTTTCTAATGGGTAATCTGAGGCACGAAGGTTAAATGATATTCCCCCTGTTAAATATAGCAATTCAAGAGTAAGACGTCTGAGCTGAGGCAGCCTGATAAGCGCTTCGGTAACACTACCAGGAGCTGCCGCTTTCTGTTAGCCACCAGTCTCCTCTTCCCAATTAAAATGTCTTTAAAGGGGGCACTTATTAGATATATTTGTACTGGGCTCTGAGGATTGGTTCAACTTAGTCTCCCTTTATGTGTCATATCTGTTTTCAACAAGAAACAGATGAATCTTAGATACTGAAGATTACGCTATTCTGCTCAAGGGAGAAATCTAAATAGCTATAAAATCAGATTAAGCCAAATGTAATTATCTGGCAAATGAAAAGAAAACTAAAGCTCTCTCAAGAATGCTATAGGTTATATGAGTGTTTACATGAGTATCTGAAGTCTAAGCTTATTAACCTTTTCACAGATATGCAGCTGTATGAATTCTTCGAAAATCATTTTCCAGAAGAAAATATGCATGCTTAATGTGGACAAAGTTGCTAACTTCCTTCAAAACTTATTCAGATACGATACGGAGCTTCTAACTCTAGCTCCCCCACGTCTTTAGTCTTGCCTACCAAGTGCACCTTATCAACTTGACCCTCAAAAGACTCTTGTTATTCCAATGCTTTCTCCAGTGTTACTCATGCCAAGTTGGAAGGGCAGAGAGCAGTGGGTTACATCCAGGAAGAGTCAATGAGTCCACTAAATTTACTTTAATTGAAATAAATGACTTATTATATTTATGTATTTTTGTTAATGTCTACAAACAGATATTCAAAGGGGGAAGATAGCATCTTGTGTAAAGACAATTTCCCAATCTACCCATTTGAATTGACTAAACGCAATGGAATAAACAAGCCAGAAGTTTTGCAAACATCGAAAGGGGTGTGTTTGGAAAGGATGAAATGGTACAGCAGCTACTAGTTATAAATATATATATATGTGTGTGTGTGTATATATACACATATATATATTACATATGTATACATATATACACACATGTATGTATGTATCTTATACATATATCCTTATACATATAAAGAAAAGGAAGAATATTACAGCATGACATGACGTTGGCAAGTTTGAGATTCTTCCTCCTGAATCCCCTGACTTATTAGCCTGTACTTTAGGATATCCGAGAACACTTTCAAGAGGGGGAAAAAGAAAGAAAAAAAAGGCACTTAACAAAGACAAAGGCCTGAATTGAGCATGTTTTAGAGGAGTAATAGAAGCATTTTACCAGAGCTAAGAAATGATTTACAGAGAGTTAAACTTTTCCCCTTCAATTTTATAAAATAAAACTGCATGTTTGTAATCGGTCATTTACCCACTACTGCATTTCTGCTTCATTATTACAAAAGCAAAAAACAAATCATACATGCACAATAGAAAGTGAAAGTGCCCCTTTTGAGAACATATGGTCAGCAGAAACTACAGTGCTGAAGCACAAGGGAAAGTTCTCAAGTTTGGCCTGATTATAGATTTTTCTCACTCTGCTATTTCTAATTTAAAACAAAGAGAAACAAAACATCAACGAACAAAAAGTAAGCCAACACAAATTCAAAACCTACATGATAATAAAAAGAACTCAGGGACCAGTGTGCTTTTACGGTACACTCCTAAAATAAAGTATCCTAACTCTATATATGGGTCAAGTTATATGACAAAACCTCCTAGAGATAAAGAACTGTAAATCAGATTATAATCAACCAATACAGGCAAAGTTCATTGTACAAGTGTAGCAGCAAACATGATAGACAACTGGAGTTCTAGGAGACAGTCCCAAGGGACAGAGAGTTCTCACAATCAATGGCAGTTTGATTAACAGTAGAGTTTCCATCTCAGAAACTGTCGTGAACCAAGTAGAGGCGGGAAGGGGTGTGGTAAGGGCAACCGGAGAAGAAAGACTAGAGGGGCCTGCCCTTTCCAACCCTGGGTAGTAAACAATTTAGATCTGCTTTGGGAAGGAAAAAAAAAAAAAAAAATCCTGGGTTAAAAATCGTTTCCAGTAAGTTGTTTTCAAACAGGTGTCAAACCCACAGTATCCAGACATGTATGTGCCCGGTTCTTCCCCCTTCCTTGGTGATGCAATAAACCCTATTCAACTTCTGTGATATAAAAAAAAAAGTGTAATTTGGGCTAACAACATCCATCAAAGGGGTGGTAGGCATAAAATAATGTACGAACACAATCCTCTGATTTCCTCAGAATATCAGGATTTTGTGACTTCAGATTAACTTCACTTCTTTTTCCGAAACGTTTTTCTTCAGTTTAAAACCATGATTTATTTTACCCTCTGATCTCAGAAGCATATTAGAAAGAATTATAATTGAGTTACAGTGGAATTATTGCTTGCATTGATTTTGGAGGCTCGGAATGAGCTTGACACTTTGCTCCCAAACAGTCTCCAACTGAGGCTCAGCACTGCTATCTCGGAAGACAACTTTGCTGACCATTATTGCTTGTGAATACTGAGGATTAACTTGTATGTACAGTAACAGCTTATACATCAGCGAAGGCAATTTAAAGTACAAGACCGTTGAAAACAAACAGCTTAATTTTCCTGAATCAAGAATCCCGCTGAGTGGGACAGAATTAAGTGTGCTGATTATTTTTGCATTGGGATGTTGCTAATGCTCTTCAGAAATACACATTGCTCTATAACCTTTCCAATTACTCACCATTTTAAAAAATAACATAATTTGACTTTTAAGTGCAAAAATACAGTATGAGTCACAAGTCTCTGTGCTAAAAAATAACCAATTTATATGTTTGTATTTAGTAAGAAAGACTGTAAAGACAGGTGCCCATAAAGTATGGCCACCATTCTCAATGTTATGATCTAGAAAAGAAATAGTTCTGTATTTACATGTAGGAGCTCTCTGATCATACTTATCTATTAAGAAATAGAAGGATGCCTGTTTCATCTGTACAACACAAAAGGGTAGTCTTGACTGAAACGGACGTAAGTTAGTGAAAATGTGGTATGGGGCTGAGGGCAGGATCTGGCTGCAGTCCTCATGGAATCAAGACTGAAGAAAATAGAATATAATCTCCATATATATGACTTCTCAGAGCCAAGGGCCTCCAGATATTTTTACTGGTTAGTTATAAAATAATACTTGGGGGAAGAATTGATAATCCTGTTCTTCTCTAATGGAGACAAAAGAATCATCAGGGATCTTCCCATGGCATGATTCAGAACTGATGGATTTAAGAAACTGAAAGTATTCCCTGACTTAAACTGGTAATGAATTTTTATATAGAAATAAATTTATGTATACACACAGATGAATACATGCACAACTATCAGCAGGAAGAGAGATTAATATGCACTCTGACTCGGTATGGGAAGTGAAAGCAGGGCTAGCTTCCCAAAGGCAAACTCCTATACAGTATTAGCAAAGACTTCTTTTTTTCCAACTTAGATAAAAGCAACAGGTATACTACATTGTATTAACTCAAGAATTGGGTAAGCTTCCCTAAATTAAATAAGCCAAACAACCTTTAATCAAACATATTCAATTCAAGTCAAACTGCTGGGCAACATCCCAATATCCTTTCAAAGTATCTACTGGGGTTGACACAACATTCTTATTTGTTCTACTGGTAAACTAAATTCTTAGAGGCAAGTAATTATATCAATGATTCCTCTGAAACAATCCTTTGCCCTTACTTTAACAAGTTCTTGGAACTAAAGTTTTCAGTTACTTATTAACTTTTTGCTATGAAGCAAGCCAATGTGACTTTGAAGTCAAAATACAGGTAATACAGATCTCAACAGATCTGTGGTAACTCATTCAGTCCTATAGGCTATTTGGGACTTTTGCTTATAAAAGAAAAAAAGGGGCCACATTAATATACTTCTTTGAATAAATTTAAAGGTATAGGGTGACTTGTAATGAAAACATGCAAATATTGCTACTACCAATCTGATGCTGTTTTTTAGGTTAGTCTGTTATAAATGGATCAAGCTTACACCAATCTTGGGCATGGTTTGAAAACATTCGGAAGTCTAAATAGGGAGAAAAAAAGAGAGAGTGAGAGAGATTGATAGAGACAAGACCAATGATGAGGCAAAAAATAAATAAAAAAAATTAAATGTATCCAAAAGGAACCATAAATTTCTCCCTTAACATCCTTTGTTGAATACGTATTTGCATAAGGAAGCTATAATAACTAAGCAGTCTTATTATTATCTGCAGGTTTACTCACATATCAATATTCTCAGTAAATATTAATAAAGCTTTAAGATCCCAAACGCTCCAAATCCATTTCACTACACTGGATACAGGGAGTAAAAATACATTGTGATTGTTATAAAAAATAATCCCTTGTACACATAATGATCCTAATGTAATTCCTCCCTTTAAAATACTATCTTAAAAATTCCAAAAATATAATATATGCCATTTGAATGACCAATGAAGAGGCATGTGCAGTACACACTTCGACCTGTCTATATCAATAATTAAGAATCACCTGAAGTACCACTAGCTAAAAGACCAGGAGAAGCTGTGAACTGAGGGGAAGCTGGGGAAATTTACAGTTCAGAGTGGTAGGCCTGCAAGGGCTCAGAGCACCAAAGTCGCAGCCCTACATCAAAGATCCCCATTTCTGAAGAGAAAAATGTGAACAGAGCCACGTTTTAACATCAAGAATGGAAATAAGAATTAACCAGTCAATACCAGATGCACAAATCACCTGAAGAAGAGTTAAGTACCTGCTTCTGAATGGAAGATGAAATTGACCCTTTTACAAAAAGGGGACATCTAAGTTTCGTCTGTTAAGAGCAACAGGCTCACTTCCTTGACTTTTAAAAATCTCGATGATTTTATATATCACTGTGCTAAAATTTCTTGAAGCATATTTAGGCCCCTGATTTACATGGGGAGTTGCTACACACTGGAGAAGATTCAAGTTTGTTCAGGATTTGTGAGGGTACAATATTTACTCGGCTACTGTCTGTATCAGACACAGGGTCATTAACTGGTGCGGCAAACTTGCTGCATAGTCCGTTCAAATAGACATGATTGTTACTCCTGACAAACTGGCCTAATTCCAGGTATACTGCCTTTTATTATGCAAGTATGTCTACAAGTGTTCAGATCCAACCCCCAGGATGGATGGAGTATACCCAAATCCTCAGATTCCTTCTTCCTCCCCCGGGGAAAAATCAAATTTGTACTTCTGTGGGTTTGACAACTGAGTCTCTTTCAAGTCAGTTAATGTGGTAACTTTATCTTTCTTTAGAGGAGACCAAAGGTCACTAACTTTGCATGAAAGCATTTCTTCCTCCTGCACCTGGCTTTACTCAAGTAACGTTCTCTTTTCTTTTTTTCCTCCTCACCACAGTGCTTGGGACGAGAGAATGTAAACATCGACAGAACGGCAGCCCTAGGACCACATGAGGACTTTCCCATCAGGTAGATTCCATCCGCCGGCTGAGTGTCTCATCTCCACTGCTTGCTGGGAAGTCACTGAGATTTCCGTGGTAATTTAGTGTCCCCTTTACTTTGGCCTCCATCTGAGAAAAGAGGTGTTTAATTGGCATGGGTTGGCATGTTATAAAAAAAATAGATAAAAACAAAACAAAAAAACCCCCAAAGAGAACAATTAACTTTTAATTTCCATGTGAATGACATTGCTAAAAAGATAACCTTTAATATCTTACATGGTATAGCACAGAGGTTCAGAAACATAAAGGAGATAAATTAACGCAACAAAAACAATCCTCTTATCTCAAGTGACTGTGGTTCAACTGGTTTTCAGTCGAAATACTATTTCAGCAAGTATTTATTATCTATCTCAGAGCCAACTGTGTCAGATGCTGTGAGGATTATAAAGGAATATAAAAGACATAATCCCCATATTTAAGGAACCTACCACATCTCTCAATTCTTTAGACAACAAGGTCAATTCCATTTTCTTGCGAGTGAAATTAAATTTCTTGCCATGACATGGCATTTGATAATCAATTCTCAATTATTTATGTAAATGAATGCAACACACTGGTAAGTGAAAAATCCAGCTGATTTTTTGTTTTGATCCTAACCTGGCAAAAGTTGTAAGTGATAAGGAAAGTCTGCTCCTTGGGAACAATGGTTTCTAGGTTTACATATGGCTTTTTAACTTTTGTTGGGAAAATGTTGGTTACTCTATTTACACTGGGCAAGAGTAGGACTCAGTGAGCTTGAGAACTAACAAAATGTAGAGAAAGTTTAACAGGTTACTGCCTTAGCAAGGACAATGAAGCGTCCCTCTCCTAGGCCTGAGAGAAAAAGTCAGGGGAAGGCATGAATGGTAGAAACACACGGGTGAAAAGGAACAAATTACTGTACTATGAGATCAATCCTAAGGCTGGAGGAGACCATGAAAGTCACATTGCTAGGTTCATTAATGTGATAGCTAAATTACTCCTGTATGACATAAAACAAAAAACTGCCTCTGTTGAAGAAATGATAGATCAATGAGACAGGATATTTGTTTCAAAAGCTGTATAAACAGAACACTATTCAACATCTAAGGCACTGGCTTTTCCATTTATAATGTGATATTATGTACTTGTGTTTGTAGAGACAATGATTTGACCTGAGGTATCATTAAACTCATAAAATGGCAAGGTAGGACTGTGCTCAAAGAGGCGCTGGTAAATAAGCAAAATAAAATACTCGTATTAACTGGACTGTGAGATTCTTTAGACCAAGGTTTGGCCCAGGGCCAAATGTGGCCCACCACTGCTTTCTCGTTTTATTGGAACCCAGCCACACTTACGTTAATGTATTTGTCTATGGCTGTTTTCGCACTAGAGGGGCAGAGTCAAGGAGTTGTGGATAGAAATTACATGACCTGCAAAGCTGAAAATATTTACTCTTCAGGCCTTTTTAGAAGTTTATATTATATATAAAATGACTATATAAAAGTTACAGTCATTCTTTCGAGGGCTGAGTCTGAGGCAGCTTAACACTTAGGTCTTTTGCAGGATTAATTATAACCTGCTGCCTTGAGATTGCCATATAGCTCCGATTTCTGCATGTGGTCAACTGTAAACTTGTTCAAAGATCATTTTAAATGCAGTGGCCAAAAAGAATAGTGAGGTCCCAGTCAACTTCCAAAGTTAAGAGGGCAGCTGAACAGTTACTCCTGTTCAAAAGATCCTGAAAATGGTCTTCAAGAATAGTATCAACAGTCCACCGAGACCAACTGCTAGTGAAAGCAAGAACCTGGAGGCCAGTATGTGATGTCCAGTGTCCACTATCTAATTTCAGATTTCAGGGTGATCTAGCTGGCCTGCAAGTATCTAATGCATACAGTTTGGATCGTATAGATTGAATCACTGCTGAAAGGCAGAAAAGTTTAATGGTTAAGAATACAGCCTATTAAGTCAGACTTCCCAGATTTGAGTTTCAGCTCACTTCCTAGGATTATCCATCTTGGGCAAGTTGCTTCCCTTGAATTCAGTTTCCTGGTCTATAAAAATGGGGATCGTCATTAGCTCACTCACAGGCCTGTTACAAGGATTAAATTAGCTAATACATGTAAGTAGTCACAAGACTACCTGGCACTTAGTAAACCTTCAATACATATGAATTATTACAATCACTGGACATGACTTTTGTACATTGTTTTATGAAACCTCTTCTTTGTCCTCATTTCAATATAACAAACACATGTCTTCAAAAAGGTTTTTTTTTCACATGTAACAAAAGGCCTCATACCTAGTTCCTTTTTCTTTTATAAGGAGTTTGTTGCTGGGGCACCTGGGTGGCTCAGTCATTAAGCGTCTTACCTTCTGCACAGGTCATGATCCCAGTGTCCTGGGATCAAGCCCCGCATCAGGCTCCCTGCTCAGTGGGGAGCCTGCTTCTCCCTCTCAAACTCCCCCTGCTTCTCCCTCTCCCACTCCCCCTGCTTGTGTTTCCTCTCTCGCTGTATCTCTCTGTCAAATAAATAAAAATCTTAAAAAAAAAAAAGTTTGTTGCTAATGAGGATTCAGTCATGAAAATCTGTTTTTCTCCAACCTTTGTCATCCCATTCAGTTTTCAGAAAAGGTTTATAATCCAATCTATAAGTCTATATAAATAGTAAAAGAGGAAAAAATAGGTGGCTTTCTTACCATTGAATGTTTGCTGTAAGTGTGTAGGCAGAGGTGAGTGGGAAAGTGTTGCTGCATGCTGAGCTCCTGGCTGTAAACCCTTTAGTAAATCTGAGAGAAAAACAGACTTGTCAGTGATCTTCCTCAACCTAAGATTTGAGCCCTCTTAGATCAAAAATGAAAATAGTTTAATTTATCTAATATAAGTACAGCCCCTAACTTCAGAGTCCTTCTTAAACTAGAGCACATACATCGAAAAATTTATATGTATAAACGTATGTGTATGCAAATAACCCAGCAAATAGGACTTCCTCTTATTATTACTTTCATTAAGATAGAAATGTGGTATAGATGGTTCCTTTAAGGATTGTAAATAAAATCTGATTCCAGTAATTTGACTACATTTAAATGAAATAAACTGCATTTCTTAAAAAAAAAAAAATTCTGTAATCTTCACTAACTCCAAATGGACTACCCTCAATGAGTATAAATTCATGAGGTTTACTGTTCTGTCAAACTAGGTAGCCAAATGACTAAAGGAGCCGCACTTACTCTGAGTTAGGCTGTGGTGGAAAGCGGCTGAGGTAGATCCCGAGGTGGTTGTCACTCCAGCTGTGTCCGTTCCAAAGCCAAGCAGCTCCAAGGGAAACTGGAAGGGCATGGTCACTGGAACAAGGCCACCCAGCATCCCAAAAGGAGTCACATTTTGATTTGTTACAGACAAAGGTGATGTCATGAGAGTCAGAGGTGAGGCATTAGCCAATAATGATGCTCCTGCTGTGGACTGCAGAAACCAGGGGTCAAAATACATAAGAAATCAAATCTTTAACCTGAATTGATTTATTTTATTTAATATCCTTATGGGCGCAAGACTGTGTCCTATATCTACTCTAACAGAAACGTTATGAGACAGAAAATGAAGACTGAGGTGAAAAATATATTTCTGAGACCTACCCATATTGGTTTTGGAATTAATTCTCTACTCAGCTCTTCATTGCCAGTTTAAACTCCTTATTTTAACGCCTGTATTACCACTCATTCATTCATTCCTCACCTCAGACTTCCACTTTTCTACTTTTGCTCCTAGCTCCTCGATCTGAGCTACTGGTCATTAATTCCATACAATTTCAATTTGGTCTTTGAAAATGTTTGGTAATTTCATTGTTTGTTTTACCATCTTTTCTGATACAATCCATGTGGTTACTGTTCCAGACAAGAACTCTCTCAAAGCCCGTAACACAATACCCTCTGCTTTCATCAGAACGCGTTGAAGAAATGAGGCCATCTGGATGTTCTTCCTCTTCCTTTATTAGCTTTACCTGCCTCTTCTCCAAAACTGACCTATGCCATGAATCTCCCTATGCCAAACTTTCTGGTACAAATATCTAGTATTACATCTTTTTCCAAGTTTCCTCTGTCTTGCCATATACAGATAACTCATCTTTTTTTTTTTAAACAACTACAGTTATTCCTGGCTGCTCCTCAAACCCTAGAAAAACCAAACTTACTTGTATTCCTTTTGTTAACCAAATTTGGTAAATGATACCCTCCATTCCCCACATTATCTAGTTTCTCCTTAACCCCTGGAAGCTGGTTTCCATATTCAATACTTTTCAGAACTTAAAGACTCCTTGCAGTAAAAAGGTGTTTTAATACTCCTCTATCTGGGCTTTGATGCCATGTGTATGAAAAGTACATTTAAATCAGAAAGAAATATGATAACATTAACTTTCCCTAAGAAATTAGTTAAATACACTTCATTAAGCTAATTTAATTCTTTGAACAATTTTCTATTCAGCAATCTTTTCCCATTTTGACTTTCTTTTCTACATGTACTTATCAACAAACATTATAATAAAATTGTCTCAGTATCAGATATTATCTATGATAGTTTGTACAACTATGAATTTTCTTTTGTAGTCTTATCTTACCAATTCTAAGTTTCCCTGGCCAAAAATTTTACAGTTCTAAATTTAGTCAAGAAAACTGAATTCTTCGAATATTTTTAAGTCAATAATCAATGTTAACTATTATCAGGTTTATTTTGTGTGCTCACTCCTTTTCCAGTAAACATTATTAATAAAGGGCTGATCATTTTATTTCTTAGTTAATATATGAGAAAAATTTTAGTGATCTTCCCATACATACACGTCACAGTGGATACATTTCTTACACCTAACAGTCCATGCCACTGCTAAACAAAAAATGAAGAATACTCTCCAGAAGGCTTTGAATCTGGTTTTTCCACTCTTTCTCCAATAGCCTTCCCTTCCCTTATCTCCTTTGTTAGCTCTCAATTTTATATCCTATCTCAGTTTCAATCCTGTAAATCTAAAAGCTCAGGGAGGAATAGCACTTGGATATGGAACACTCATCAACAAATGAACTCATCAATTCCTACACTTGATCTTAGCCAAAAGGCCGAGAAGCGATGAACTCATCAGTTCCTATAATCATGTGACCCCATCCTATATCTCAAATGCTATCATTAGTAGTCTCATTCTTTCCCGACACCAGGGCTTGAAACCTTAGTTTTTAGGCATCATAAAAAAATGGACAAGGTGAACTCACTGTCAACATACCCATTTTTTTTTTTTTTTAAACCACTACTTCCTCCAACACTTAAGTACAAATCTTCATTACTTTATGCTTGGACTTGGCTACTTTTCTTATTTTCTAGTCTTTCCCTTACTGGCCAATCATGATATACAAAATGGATACACTGGAAAGAATTACTAAGCTAGAAATAAGGACACTTTGAAGCAGTTTGGATAGAAGGTATCCTGCATCAATTTAAGAATTAAAAAGAGTTTTTTTAAAATCATAGTTCTCTTGTAATCTCAGGATAATATGAGGCACACACTCCAAGACCAAGTGCCCCAAGTGGAACCCCCTAGAGAGGAACATTAGATACTGCTAATAAGGAGAACTCAAGCTTTTCTGGAGAAGGCTAACTGAAGTATTAAAATAGCTGGAAAACATAAATTAGGGCAACTTCCCAAATTAACTGAGCGATAAAAAATGATACCATGCCATAACTGTGTAATATTTTGTACTTTCAAAAAACTTCCATATCCACTTTTGTCTATAAAACTAAAATGAAACATCAGACTACCTAAATATTACATGGCATTTATAAATTTTTCTCTCCCTGTAAGATGGAGACCTTTCAAAAGTTAGGTATCCTATTGCTGATATCATTCGAAAGCATACAGGAGAAGCGGTCAACCTAAAACAGGCCGATAGTTCAGGATAATGCTCCATAATCAAAAATACTTCCACGACCTCCATATTTCATTCCCAGGGGAAAATATGAAGGAAAACCATGCTCTTCCTGCAGTGGGCATTCTATCTATCGAGAATTTTTTTAAACCACATTTTATCTCGCTGAGTGCATCCACCCCCCCATTCTCTACAACAACCAGAAGGATATTTTGAAATATAAATCAATGAAGACCCTCCAATGGCTTCCCACTGCACAGATTAAAACCCCAAGAAGTTCTTATCGTGACCTGCAAGGTCCTGCATCACATGGTTCTGGTTGATCTCAGACCTTGTCACCTATCCATCTCTCCGTAGTCCAGCCATGCATACCTACACATCAGGCTCCTTCCTATCTCAGTGTCTTCACACCTACCATCTCTCTAGCCTGGACTGTTTGTTCCCCCTATCTCCAAATGACTAGCCTGCTTATTCAGTTCTCAGATCAAATGTTATCTCCTGAAAGAGGCTGTCCCCAACTCCCTTATCTATGTTAGCAGCAATCACACTTTGTCATATTATTGTTTTTTCATAGCACTTAACATGTTTTTTAAAAATTTGTGTTTTATCTTTCTACCTGGAATATATGCTCCATGACCGGAGAGATCCTGAGTATGGTGTTTACCCTATCTCCCCAGCACCTAGAAGAGTGCCTGGCACATATTAAATACCTCAGAAACATTTGCTTAATGAGTTAATTATTTTGGGAATTATAAAGTGGCAAAGAAATGGATTCATAGAACATCAGTAAGTTGAAGGGTAAGAAAGAAGAGGAAAGCCTTGAGCAGGAAGTTATTAAATAGAAAGTAGGTAGAGGTAATAATCTGAACCTGGAAAGATTTTAATTTCTGTTAAACTCAGGGCCTGTCCTTTTCACTCTGCAAATGAACAGATAGCTGAAGATGTCTTTCAGACAGGAGCCGAATGTTTTGCAGGCACAGATAGGGAATCTCCTTTTAGTGTTAAGAGTGCTAGAGAGACAGGATTTAGAGGCCACGAGGTCTCAATGACAGACTACGTTAAAAAAAAAACAAACCAAACCACAGGTTCCCCCAAAGTTATGATCAACTATTCAATTACTGACCTTTTCTTCAGTCAAACCAGTAAGACAGAACAAAAAGGATCAGATCTGAAGGCAGGAACAATAAGGCCTTCAAATCATAAAGTCATATTGGAAAGGATGAAAACTAGAAAAAAGTAGTTAACTTTTTGGAAACACAAATTTTGCCATATGGGTTCCCTGCTGACAAATGAATTGGTATGCTAAGTATCTAGGTTCTCCTGGGATAGATGATCAAATACAAGAAGGACTGGCAGGAGGGGGAGAGCTGAGGGGGTGGCAGCAGGGTGGGGACAGAACTGAGAGACTCTGGAGATGACAAAGGCTAGAGAAAGATTTAACTTTAAATTCAAAGTGAAGGGGGAAAAAAGGCAATTTTTCTTCAGGAAAAAAACCCAAAAACTTAAAGCAAATGAAACCATAGTTTACGATTTAGCTCAAGAGAGACAATATTTTACATAGTCCTGGATTTAACCAAAAGTTGTACTTGTACTCTTTCAGGAGAATGGCAGAGGTATAAAGGCAGCTAAAAGCTTTATCATGGTAAGTTAAGAGATAATAGTAAAATGAATAAATTGTCTTCCATCCATTCTTAGTATTTAAAAACACAGAAAAAGCTATGAGAATTAAAAGTAACTGATACTAGGAAGGGGGACCCACGTGGCAGGGAACTGGCATTTCTGTTATGATTCTGTCCTTTACTCAAATTGAAGATTAACGTCAAACACAGTCAACATTTTAATAAAGGTATCACAAAGAGGAATGTGAACTAACTCCCAGACCTTAGTTATAACTTAAATTTTAACATACAATCCCTAATCAGTGGGTTTTTTTTTTTTTTCATTTTCTGATGAAAGTAAAACTAAACAGATAAAACATCCTAGATTTCAACTAGTAAAGTATCGGTTAATTGAATTTTGTTTTATATTAGAATTCTGGAATAAATGAATTCATTACTAAGCCTACAGTAATGGCAGAGTGATGATCTGGGTTTCGCGTGTTTATGAATACCAATCCTTAGCTTGTACTGAAGAGCAGAAAATATCTATAAACACCAAGGTAAAAATTCTTTCATTAGATGCTCCTATTCCGCATCAACAGGAGGCAGTAAAAAGAACACTTTCTGAGACAACGGAATCCCACAAATCAACAAAAGTCATGTTTTCAAAAAACACTTGGGAACCTAAGAACTAACATCACAAAATGTTACATATTTTTAAAAAGCTTGTTATGAAACAGCATATTATATGACACCCATTTTCTTGACAAGAATCCAAAAAAGTACCAGGAAAATATAAACAGCAGTGGGATAATGGGGGACTTTTCTTTGTTGTGAATTTGCCTACAGTGAATACGTATTACTTTTTGGGATGGGAGACAGGGAAGAAGAATCTTACAGAAATCAAACTGGTCACGTGAAGGACAAATCTGGCAAGTCTCAGAATACAAGGAGTAGCAGAAAGATGAAAACAATGACAGAGAAGATGACATGGAAAGGAGAGAAATGAAATATGAGTAATAAAGAGTTCTCAACAAACCTGGGCCAAATGGATCAGAAATGATAATGAAACACATCATAGAACAAAATATTCTTGAGCTGAAAAAGCCGCCAGGTATAAACTTACAGATAAAACCTAGCTATAATTTGAGGATACTTGAATTTCAAGGAAAAAGAGAAACTCTTACTAGCATTTAGGCAGAGAAAACACATACAAGGGAACAAAATATTGGAATGGCCTCAGACTTCCCTGTAATCCTCAATACTAAGCAAAGGTCAGTGGAACAGTATTTATAACATTGGGAGGAGACCGTTAGTGACCCGAGAAGTCTACATACCTAAGTGTGACAGTACAGAAATGATCAGGTATGCTGGAGCTAAGGTAAAGTAAGTTTTGTGTTAGTCTTCCTGAAAAGACTCCGAGTGAAGCACTCCCACTGTGAGATAAATTTAAATTAAAAACTCACGAATGGGGAAACCGGTGGTATAAAAGGATTATCGACAGTAATTTGACACAGAGAATTACATATGAGTAACTGCAAAATTCATGCCAAATAAAAATTTTATTTGAAAAGACAAATGGCTAAAGGAAAAAAAAAATAACCATGAATGTATAAATTTGATTAAATAAAAAAGTTGACAGGAGAAAGGGGACTAGAGAGAGGGAGAAAGGAGACAAGTGAGGGTATGTTAAACTCGTAAGTTACTACTTTGTTCTGAATTTTGACAACATATTTTAAATATGCATTATGTGTTTTTCAAAAATTGCAAAAGTCGTATGTGCTACTTTACCTGGAAGAAAAAAAAATGACATCCCAACAAAAACCTCATCCACCAAGTATCCCCATTACTGTGATGTGAACATCAGGAACATTCCTTGGCCATAAGCTGTAATAAGCTATTACGAACAACCTATGTACATGGTTATTAAACGGACTCACAGGAAAGACCGCACAATCTTATACTTTATCCCATGAACGTACGTAACATACATACCTGCACACTGGCTGTTACCACTGAAGACCCTGAGGCAGAGGATGGTCTATGTGGAGTAGACGACGGTTTAGTAGCACCCTGTGTTCCACTTCCTGTTCCCCCAGAGAGACTAGTCCTATTCGCTCCGCTTGAGTTTAGGCTGCTACCTCTGCTGGCAGGTACATTCACTGCAATCCCACTCAAGCTATTCTTCCCAACAGTTCCAGCGGATGAGGAATTTGTGAGCTTTGAAGGGGCCTGAAGATTTTTTGTGGGTGGAAGGCCTGAAGTGCGATTAGAGGGCAGCAAATTCAGGGTGGGCGACTGTCTGCTGAGGCTTATTCCACTGGGGTGTTTATGGACTGGGTTGTTACTGCTGGAGTGGCTACTCTGGGCTACTAGTGCATTTGGACTGGAAGCGCTTGGGGGTACAGGAGGCTTGGGAGTGGGGCTGGACTTAGAAATAAGTTTCGTTGATACTGAAGGCTTAGCTGACAGAGAGGGCTTGGGTGAGGCGGAAGGCTTAGGTGAGGGCAAGGGTTTAGGAGATGTGGCAGGTTTTGGAGATGCGGCAAGTTTGGGGGATGCAGCCATTGAGAAGGGAGACTTGAAACCCTGCGTGGACATCTGTGACACCATAGCCTTGGCTAAATAGTTACTGGAGGTAGTGGTGCTGGGTACTGTCCTAGAAACCAGGGGGTGGGACCCTTGAGAACCATTTCCAGGTGAGGGAGTAGATAAGGGAAGGCGGTACATGAGTGGCTTATCCGAAGTCTTAATAAGCGGGGATGAACAGGCAAGTTGGGGATTATTACTCAACTTCACCACTGGGTTGGTCTGTGATTTACTAATGGTTGCTTGTAATGGAGACACATAGTTTTGCTGGACAGCTGAATGCTGGTGCACCTTTGTTACTTGTGTTAACGAAGAAGCATCCTGGGCCTCTGGTGTCCCCAGAGCGTGAGAGGAGGCAGCAACTTGGGCTTGGGAAGAGGACACATGGGTCTGGGAAGAGGAAGAAGCATGAATCTGACTCGACCTCTGTAGTCCTTGCTGAAGCAGCCTGGCTGGCAAAGGTTCCAAGGAAACTTTAGGGTTCTGAATTGAAGAACCAGCAATAAGGCCTGAAGAGATGCCAGTATGAGCTAAATCCTGGGGTTTCTTTGGTACTGGCCCTGTATGACCAGCAATAAGACTTGATGAATGTGCAGTCTGAGGAGAATCTAGTTTTTTAGGAGCAGCCAGCGGCAACTTACTCATGATACTTGCTAATTTTTCTTCTCTCAGTCCTGGACGAGGTTTTGCAGTTGGCATGCTTATCCTTGAGCCAGCTGGAGGGCCTTTGTTCCCATTGTTGATAACAGCTAAAGCTTCAGAAACAAGATCCAGTGCAGGTGGATGGAAAGAAAGGTCTTCATCTAGTGAGTCATCAAGGCAGATCGTCTCCTGGGCTGGTGTGGAGCTAGAGCTGGTGGAGGCCACGGCAGATGTGCTAGAGCTCGTTGAGGGACCACCAACTGAAGCCACCAACGATGCAGTTTTCTGGTCCTTTTTTGGACTACACTCCTAACATAAACAGCATTATATTGGAACAAATTAAATGATTAATAAATAATTACTAAGTATTAGTTTTTTTGATTTTTTTTTAAAGGACTAAGAACATCTCACAATGATTAAAATTCTATTGGAAATCTTTAGACTGAAAAAACCAAAACAGTTCTCAGGATAGAGCTCTTGACTGAACCGTTCAGAAGCCAAAGCATCTGATACAGTGCACACAGCGGCCATACCTTAGTAAGCTCTTCTAAGAGAACTTGACACCAAGCCAAAGGAATATTCGTATACTAGTTGCATTATTGGCGAAACTCTCCCTCACCCCACCCCACCTGCATCAGATCTTCAGATACTATTCCAAATCCATCTGTTCATGGACTATTCTCTTTTTATTCTTCTTGTACCTAGGAGAAATTCTGCCTTTATTCTAAGACTCTGCCCTTCTTCTCTAGGATGCTTTGCTACGATACTGACCCTCACTTTCTGCTCCCTTGTGTTTCTGCCGCTGTATGCCCTGTCCTATAGCCACTCATAGCCAGTACGTAGAGAAGTGGTACATAAACTGGGATTCAATCCAAGCATACTCAAATTAAGTCTTCTATTCATTATGGTCATTTGTAATTTATTCAACATATATTTACTAAATGTTTACTATGAGCAAGGCACTATACACAAGAAAACAAGGTTATGGGAATTAAAATTCTGAATACCTAAGAGAATTTTTTTTTCCCCCAAAAAATTAAGTTTCTTAAAATTCAAGGAAGAGAAAAGAGAATTAGAGCACAATTTAAAATATTCCAAGAGCAAAAGAATTAAAAAGTAACTGTTTCGGAGTGCCTGGGACTAATGTATTAGTTGGTTGGGCTTCCGACTCTTGGTTTCGGCTCAGGTCATGATCTCAGGGTCCTGAGATCAGGCCTGTGTGAGTCTCCGAGGTCAAAGTGGAGCTCTCCCTCCCCCCACCCCCTTGTGCTCTGTCTCTCTCTAATAAAGAAAATCTAAAAAAAAAAAAAAGCTGTTTCCCTTAAAAGGGAAATATAAAGTATTCGACTCATGTCATTTTTAAGATTTTTTTTTTTTAAGATTTTATTTATTTATTTCTGAGAGAGAGAGAGCACAAGTGGGGGGGAGCGGCAGGCAGAGGGAGAGGTGGAAGCAGGTTCCCCACTGAGCAAGGAGCCCGATGCGGGACTCGATCCCAGGACCCTGGAATCATGACCCGAGCCAAAGGCAGATGCCCAACTAACTGAGCCACCCAGGCGTCCCATGTCATTTTTAAGATTAAGAAGAAATAAAACGAGGGCGCCTGGGTGGCTCAGTTGGTTAAGCGACTGCCTTCGGCTCAGGTCATGATCCTGGAGTCCTGGGATCGAGTTCCGCATCGGGCTCCCTGCTCGGCAGGGAGCCTGCTTCTCCCTCTGACCCTCCCCCCTCTCATGTGCTCTCTGTCTCTCTCATTCTCTCTGTCTCAAATAAATAAATAAAATCTTTAAAAAAAAAGAAGAAATAAAACTATTACATAAAAAGCACTTCAAAGTTTCTTTGATTAGTCTCTTAAAAACAAACCCAAATAAACCTAAACCCAAAGTCTTAAATTACACATTAATTTATACAATCACAGCACTTACGTTAACCATAGTGGGGAAAGAATGGAGAGGAAGTGTCTTTACCATCACCTTCTAAGGTATTACAGTAAAGAAGCTGGTAAGAAGGCTGTTAAACTCTAACTTCCTCAGCAATTTTTCTAAGCTGCTAGTCCAAAAGCCCTGATTGAAAACTCCACTGCCTCTCAGAATTCTGTAGTGTAACTGCACTAAGGTCAAAATTATCTGTTAAGGGGCGCCTGGGTGGCTCAGTTGGTTAAGCAACTGCCTTCGGCTCAGGTCATGATCCTGGAGTCCCAGGATCGAGTCCCGCATCGGGCTCCCTGCTCAGCAGGGGGTCTGCTTCTTTCTCTGACCCTCCTCCCTCTCATGCTCTCTCTCAATAAATAAATAAAAATCTTAAAAAAAAAAAAATGTCTGTTAAGATGAATGGGTAATACATATGAGACACGTCTGCTTGACAGGCCATCCATTCAAATATGATTAGTGAAAATACCTTTTTTATTAAAAAAGTATACAAACTGAGGGTGGGGGAATGTATTGGAATCATAATGGTAGCATTACCAATATAAAACTTTTTTAAAGGAACTTTTTATTTTTTTTAAAGAATATACTGGTTTCATTTTTATTTACTATCTATTTATTCTAAGTTCTGGGCCCAATGTGCAGCTTGAACTCACAACCCTGAAATCAAGAATCATATGCTCTTCTGACTGAGCCAGCCAGGTGCCCCTGAATTAATTTTTTCTTCTAGAATAATGTTAAATCCACCCACCAGGGTACTATATAAATTTATACTAGCAGAGATAAATTGTCCAGGGTATATATTTGAGTCTAAAAAGCAGGTTATCCCATTTATAAAATGTTAATTCAATCTGAATAAATGAATAGCTATTTGAATGGATCGAAGGAGGGGTGGCAAGGACAGAGCTCCAGAAGTGTACTAGAAAGGAAGAGCTTTTTTTCCTGGATACTTTTACTTTTCTCCTTCTTACTTTTTTGTATTTGCATTTTCTACTGTACTTGCTTATATTATCTTTATAACTAAAACAGGTATTTGAGGGGTGGTAGGGTAGGAAAAACACAAATCAGCAATATAGTTTTTCCATTTGGGGGAAAGGAAACAGTAATTTAATCACAAAGACAAACAAAATAGGCAATTCCCCTATACCATCCCTGTCATTATTAGAATTCTGATAATCATATGTTTGAATAGATGTATCAAAATTTAACCAACACTTTATGGAAAGCATTAGGAGTTTAAAAATACAGTGTCAAAGCAAAGCATGAACTCAACAGATGTGATGAAATACTGGTTCAATATTATTTGGATTAGAAGACAAATGAGGTAGGTAAGAAAAAGAAGACTATTTACTCTGTATTCAAAGAGCCTCTAATACTAAAAGTTAAGAAGGCCAGAGAGTAACAAATATTGACCTTCTGGCCATAATCTCATAAGCCAAGAAACTCATCTATTCAAAGAGATGAAGGCTATGGGGAAAGTCTAAAACCTAAAGGGTGTGGGCTTTCTTTACAATTTTACTTTCAAATGATTACAATTTTCACTTCTATAGATTATACATGATTCTTTTTCAACTCTGCTTTGTCTATTTTGGTATTTTTTTATCCTTTCTTCTCCTTCTTTACATATTAAACAAGTTAAATTCCTTTATGTTCTAAACCCAATAAATCCATCACTTGCCCTTCTCAGGGATCTAATTCTTGTTGGATGTTTCTGCTGACTCTCACTCATAGTAACTTACTTCCTTATGTATTCTGTGTTTTCACATTTTAAGCTCATGTTTGACACGGTATATATGTGGTAAGCCTTTTGGGGCCTGGGATGAAACTGCATTTTTCCAGAGAGAATTTGATTTGCCATTTGCCTTGGGTTAATAACTAATCTAATATCCCTTTAAGTTATTTTCAAAGCTTGAGGACTTCCCAGGTCTTGTAGGCAGTGTAAATTAAACTCCTAAACCAGGGAAAATTCTCAGGAAGGACTTCCTTCCCCTAATCTAGAACTCAGGCCAAGACACCCAAGTTCCTTAATCTTTCTGCTGGTGAGTGGATTTCTTTTCTAGTCCTTTCTTTTACTAAACATGTTACCCTTTGAAAGTCCCAGGTTTACACAGAGTTTCAGTCTAATTCCTAACCTATATAAGGCAAAGATACCCCTATCTGCTGTGGTCTGAGAAGAAATTTAAAAATAAACCATAAAGTGATGGATGAAAATCAGCAAATGCGCCTAAAGGCAACCAAAGTTTCAATGACAGATTAACACGCTGGCAGCTTCTTCTTTGTTTTGGGACTTAGGGATTTCTATTATCTATTTGCAATCTCAACTATGCTTTTAAAGGATATTTGTTATATTTTATGGAACGCTTCTAACTTTTATTAGGTTAAATCTTACAATTTAATTCTCTGAAATAAAAGCGTTCTAGGATTTTTACAAAATTTAAAAATACCCTTCTTAAAAATACAGTACCTATCCACCTATGCCAAATACATATATCCTTTGCATCTTAAGAATGTATTTCAACATTCCCCAATTATGACTAATTAAAGATTTGGTTCAATACTTACCTTCACTTTGGGTTTAGGTGCAGGAATCACCTTTTTCTTTGCCCTAAGACAAAAGATAAAAAAGGAGGCCATTTCAGTAGCATTTAGGTCACCATTAGGAAATTAAAATATTGTCATTACATGGGTAAGTAACTTCTTATGCTATTTGGAAAACTCTATGAAGGAAGGAACTATATATAAGTGCTCAGTTTATATGTGAATATACAGTAACATTTCCTCCAATTTCAATCAACTGGAAAAAAGGCCAAACCATTAGCAAAATATCAATGATAGATAAAGGTTTTTTAAAAATTAAATGTAAATACTCAAAATTAAAAAAAAAACAAAACCTCAAGATAGGGTAACAAAGCTGCCTAAGGAGACTCACTTCAAAGAACTGGTAAGAATTTATAATTATTTATAGGAAAACAGAGCTTCAAGAAACTTTCAGCTCAAATTAAACCACAATTTGAGGAGAACCATTGTCAAGATATTGTAAATGAGAGATCATTTTAAAAACAAAACAAATCTTTGTTTTTAGAGAAAATTATTTTAATACAAAAATTCAAATAAAAAATGTCAAAATGACGGGGGGAAAAAAGGCAAGAAAAATACTATGTAACCTGAAACCTGTGGGAACCAGTATGAAAAAGTTTGAAGAAAATCTTATGGGTTCCATAATAAGAGAAAGTACTCCATGTCTGTTGAATAATTAAAGGATTAACAAGCTAAAATACCTCACACTGAGTATTTCTACTTCACTAAGTTGATATGTCATCCATTAAATTAACAAATATCTTGATTAAAATTGTCAGTCTACGACTTCATTAAGGCAACAGTAATTTTCAAAGTTTTCTTGATAAAGACCATTGGGGCAAAAGATGTCCAGGCCCACGTATCCCATAGATTTCCACTTTCTGATACAAAACACAAGTTAGTCATAGTGATAAAGCTACTAAAAAAAAAAAAAAACTGGGGAAAAGGATCTCTGTAAACATCTGCTTTAGGTTTAAAGGAATTACTCATACCTGAATTGTAACACATATGTGATTTTATAACTATGGGGAAATTAAAGGCCAGAAATATTATTGATACCAGTACCTATGTATCCCCTGCCCCAGGGTAACTAAACCACCAGCAATAAACAAGAATAGCAAAAACTGACAACCACAACCAACTCAATACAAATCTAACAGTATGCTAACAAAGTGTCCTTCCTAACAGTTGTAAAAATTTCCATTATAATTGTATAAAGAGACAGAATTTTGTAAGGTTACCCAGTTGTTAACCAGACCTCTTAGAATATTGAATTATAGTGACCCATAAATTCTCAGTAACTTGCTAATTTAATATTTTATTAACTATTACTACACGTCTAAGCTACAGAGCAATAGCCCTAAGTTGTAGGTAAAAATAAAATTCTTGAAGTCAACCAGTATTCACCCAAAAATATAACCACAAAACCCCCAGCTTTTTACTACTTCCTATCAGGTTAAAAGACCTTTCTTTAGTAATCACACCACTAAGGAAATACCTAGTTTTAAAAAGAAGGGAAAGAAATGAAGAATAAGTTAATTTTGTGGAATAAACTTTCATACTTTGACACTTTGCAAGGCAAGGCAGGGTAGGTATATATACGAAACCATCTTGGAATGCACAAGGCTGTAAGTTAGCTACATTAATGGTCATTAAGAGGGAAAGAAAAAGGACACCAAAGAACTGGAGGGAAGAAGGCCCAGGAACAAAGGAAACAATCAGAGCTTTCCTGTTTACATGGCTCCTAACTACCAAATCTCAGGCCAGCACACATTCAGGTTTTTGGAGACTAGCCTGAGAACTGTTTAATAGATAAATGTGTTCTTAGGTCTATAGAAACAGTGAAAATGATTTTTTTAAAAGATTTTATTTATTTGAGAGAGAGAGAGAAAGAGAGGGAGCACAGGCTGGGGGAGAGGCAGAGGCAGAGAGAGAAGCAGGTTGCCCACTGAGCAGGGAGCCCGACTCGGAGCTCGATCCCAGGACCCCGAGATCATGACCTGAGCTGAAGGTAGATGCTTATGACTGAGCCACCCAGGCGCCCCTAAAAATGATTTTTTTTTAAAAAAGCAGGAACAAAATGGGAGATTGTTTAAATGCATGTTTAAGGGGTGCCTGGGTGGCTCAGTCGTTAAGCGTCTGCCTTCGGCTCAGGTCATGATTCCAGGTCCTGGGATCAAGCCCCGCATCGGGCTCCCTGTTTGGCGGGAAGGCTGCTTCTCCCTCTCCCACTCCCCCTGCTGTATTCCCTCTCTCGCTGCGTCTCTCTCTGTCAAATAAATAAATAAAATCTTTAAAAATAAATAAATAAATAAATAAATAAATAAATAAATAAATAAATAAATGTCTGTTTAAGTACTACTTCAACTAGCATTTAAGAAATAGCACTTGTTTACTAAAGCATGTAAGGTGAGCAAAAATAAATGAAGAAATCTGGAGTCTGTTTTACTCACGGAGCAGAAGTAAGATGATTATGTACACTCCGGCTTTCCTTAAAAAGCATTCTGCAAAAGTTAAAAAGACATGATCATTTTTGTGTAACAGATAATGATAGCCACTTTCTCGTTTTAGTTACATAGTTTTCAACAGTCTATTACTTGTTCATTTATCAAATGAAAGTTATAATGGCACAGAGTAAATTCAATAATCTATTTTATGGGGAGTTTTATAGCACATTTATTTAAATCTTTTAACAGATCAACAGATTTTTTTTTATTTAAGACAGAACGCTTTAAGATGACAGAGATAGCCAAGTCTATTAATTTTAACATTCTTAACTCTTTAAACTTTAAATTGGGCTACTCTTAATTTTTGAGATACCACTCTACATTGACTATTTTCAACAGAACCTAAGGTTGGGATCATTTTTTCTACACTCTCCATTTTGTATTCAGTTCCTTATCTTCACGATACCCATGTGAAGTTCCCCCCCGCAAAGTTCATAACCATCTTCTCCTCCTCCCATTTCTCTATTAGCAAATTCAGGTGCAAAAAAGAAAAAGTGGTTGGCAAAAAAAAAAAAAAAAAAAAATTACCCTTTATGTGTATCTCTGTATCTCCATGTCCATGTGACTAATTGTTTTGTCTTTTAAGTGCTTGAAGTTTTCAAGGCAAAGATCATCTGAGATGACTAGGTATTACCAAAATGAATGTCATATGTGTGTATGTGTATATAAATACATGTATCTTTAATAATAGCAATAATAAGAAAGTAAAGTAAAATCTAGGATGTCATATTTCTTACCTTGCCTGCATCCAGCCCTTAGGCCACAATGGTTTCACCTCTGTCTCCATAAAGGATTTAAGATAATCCTCAGCGGACTGGCTTTTATTTGGCTCTAACTCATAGCATCCCAATTTGATCTCAACAAGGTTACATAACAAAGTTCTAAACAGATTAAAAATATATATTTATATATAAATCTGACTGCAAATTGTGGAAAATTAAGCTTGAAACAGATTTTTTTAAAAGCACATAAATCTGACAGCAATAATAAAGAATATTATCTCAAGAATTCAGAAGATGACACGAAGATAAACTTTCCAACATACATCACTCATTGCACTACAGCCAAATCCCCAATATGAAACAATTTCCTTTGATACCTTTCATCTAGGCACCAAGGATTGAAAGGGATAGTCCTGCAGCCAAACCCTCTACTTGGGGTACAGAAATACTGGTAAAAAAGATGACTGATTACACAAGTATATGGAGTACTTCACCTTCTGAAACCAGTATGACTTACTTATTAGAAGATTAGCTTATAAAAAGTAGGATATGAAAATAAAAGTGAGAGCACTCTAAGAATATCAGGATGAAGTCAATCTTCCTTTGAATTTTTCCTACACACTAATCTTTGGTTGCTTCCAATCTACTCTTCCATTTACTATATATTCTTTTTATTAGAAACCTTAGTTCTCCATTATCTATTTGGTTAAAAGTGAAGGCTTCGGTTCAATTTTACCTGATGGTGTCATTCCAGTGGAATTTCTTTCTTGGTCCTATGACACGTTTCCCTGGTTTTTCATCATCATCTTCCTCGGACCCATTTTTTTCTCGTTCTTCATCTGTTTGTAACCTAAAAATGAAAAAGATTTTATGAAGCAGTTTTATTTTTTTTATTTTTTAAAGGTTTCATTTACTTATTTGTCAGAGAGCGAGATAGAGAGCACAAGCAGGGGAGAGGCAGGAGAGGGAGAAGCAGGCTTCCCGCCGAGCAAAGAGCCTGATGCGGGACTCGATCCCAGGACCCTGGGATCATGACCCGAGCCGAAGGCAGACACTCAACCGATTGAGCCACCCAGGCGTCCCATGAAGCAGAGTTTTAACCCAGCAGTGCCTATGATATGCTCCAGAGACACCTGTTAAAATGCTTAACTGAATGTTAACTCAAAAGGGAAAGTAAATGGGGAATCTATCTTTATACATAATACTTTGAAATGCATTATAAAGTGGTTTGGTAAACAAGGTCTTCAAACTGTAACATAAGGCCATGAATACTTACCTTTCGGTTCAGAAAATATTTGTGTCCAACTTCAGCCAGTCAAATTGGCTGACATGTGAAATGTCTGACCAGTACCACAGCTCTTGCTAGGATCACACCCACACACTGAATCAAGAGACCTTTTGCTTCTGACACCAAAGCAACTGAATAGGGAGTATTGTGTCATTTAGAAAATACTCAATTATACCATTTCAGTGGTATATGTGGATTTCTACTTGGTGAGAACGTCTACACAAGACCAATCCTTAAGAGCTAAAAATACTTCTCAAATGCAAAAGCCGGTCCAAAGAGAAGAGGTACATACTTGGCACACTTAGCTTGACTACGAGCTTGGCAGTCCTCCTGGTATTTAAATAGCTGTTCAGGCATCACGTTGCTAACAGCCAGTTTCAGTTTTTGCAGAGGTTCTCTTAAACGATCATCCTGAGGAAAAAATATACTACAAGTTTTTTAAAACACATTTACAAAAATTAAAGCAGATCCACAAAAGACACTGATTATGGATTTGAAATGTAAACATATTTTTTTAATGTAAACATATTTAAATGCAGACACTTCTTCTACCACACTGACTTTTCATAATGCATACTGGATATAAAATTAGGATGACCATACTTCACAGGCAATCAATGAGAATTCCAGTTTTTGCTTGTTACCCCAGCATAATTAATAGTGTTCCTTACACTTTTTTCTTAAAAATTTTTTGAGTTTAGTTGACACACAATGTATTCCTTTACATTCTTAAAAATGTCCCAGCCAATAAATTATATGGACACTTTAAGATTAAATAAAACAAAATCTACATTGTGCAGACTACTGCTGGTTGATACCCATTATGGTGGGGAACCAGTACCATAAGAGGAGATACTGCTTTGCAACACTGGAACATAGGATTTGGTCTGGGTGACTACCAACAGGATGTTGACATCCTGTTCTGTCATTTATTGTTCCTAATTGTGACTTATGCTGCAAGCAAAAATGCAAGGTCAAGGCCAAAGAGAAAGAGGAAACTGGAAGACTCTTGCTATTTTCATACATACCAATTAATAAATATTATTGCACATATGACAGTGTCTGCTATAAAAACTCCATTAAAAGAAATGTGAACATCCAGTATCATGGTTCCTAGGTGATCACTTCGTAATTACGTAGCTGAGACTATCTGTCTGGGAACAACCCAAATATCCATCAACAGTAAAATGAATGAATTGGGATATATTTATAGCATGGAACACCATACACACTGTACGGCAAATGTACTCCAAAAATGGAGTTCACCACATGTAAAGACATAGATAAATCTGAGGTGCATAATGTTCAGTGTAAAAAAGCAAGCTGCAGAAGAAAAGTATGGAGACAGTATGACTCCATTTATATGAAGCTCAAAAATATGCAAAATCAAACAGTATAATATTTAGGGATTACAAGTACACATGATAAAACCAGATAAAGAAAAGCAAGGGCTAAGACAGATGTCTTCCTCTATAGCCAAAAGGGATATTAAATAACTCCAAACATCAAATATGAAATGTTCCTTAGAAAATATCTTATAATGTATAAAAAGTCGTTCTCCTGCCTCTATATCCTTTTTTACTGGTACCCATTTCTGTCATGTGATGGTACGGCAGTAAGCTCCAACTGTCAATGTCTGAAGGGGCCAGGCACAGACACAAAATCTGTGACCTCAAGTAATTTCATTTATTTCTCTGCTTTAAACTGACAAAGAATTCTCAATTCAAAAGAATTTTTTTTTTTTTTAAAGAGAGAGAGAGTGGGTGCATCCAAGCATGCAGTGAGTTGGGGAGGGGCAGAAGGAAAGGGAGAGAGAGAATCTTGAGCAGATAGATTCCATGCCCAGCACAGAGCCTGACAAAGGGCTCAGTCTCACAACACTGAGATCATGAAATGAGCCAAGACCAAGAGTCAGAACTATTTTATTAACAGTTGTGTAACACTTACAATAAATAATTCTATGTCTCTCAGATCACATCACTAGTGGTCCAGGGCACCACATTCATTCCCCCATTAGAGCCATGGGGGGCCTTGGACAGCCATGTTGTGCTATGTGACTCCCAACCTCTGGCCAGAAAAATTTTGGTTGACTCAAGATAGTATAATCAGATTTTCTGACCCAAGAACTTGGATTGGGATGAGAGGACTGAGTCAGTCTGTGTGTGTGGCTTTTCCGTGATATAAAACCTTGAGAATACAGCAATCGTATTTTCAGATGCACATAAAAGGATAAAAATGAGACACGGGGATATGGGTAGAGAGAAACAAGAGTTAATCCAAATTATCAGTTCCCTTAATTCCATAAAATACCTTTATTGATAGAAAAAAATGTTCTTTTTTGTCTTAAACTATTTAAGTTCTTTTCCATTACTTGCAAGTTATAAATATTTTAAAAATATATAATCAAATAAATCATAAAGGGAAGAGTAATCAGGACAGTGAAGGTACTAAAAACCATTTTACATGAAGTGAAGAAGGGGACATAATACAAGCTTTCAAAAACATGAAAGCTGTGAAGGTGACAAATGATTAGATTTATGAATGGACTCAAAGGCAGAATTAGGACCAATGGGGTGGAAAGCACCTGAATTTGTCCCAGTGCATGGAAGAATTTTCTGATATTACAATGAAATATGTTTCTGACCACAAGAAGCATTCAAACTTGGACAATTACTTATGGGATGGTAGGGGAGGAGAATCTAGCAAAACATGGATGATTACACCAAAAAATCTCTAAGTTTACATGTAACCCTGTGATTCTTTCCACTGGTTTGTATAATGTGGGTGTGAACATATCTGCATAGATCCATTTCAGTAATAAAAAAACTGAGCTATAAATCTGTCAGATATTTGTTGAGGGCAAAGTTGTGTCAGCTGTGGAACTGAAGTTAATTTACCAGTCCAAGAATCTATGCCTTAGAAAACATTCTCATCTAGATTTATTAATTGTTGAAAAGTTTTTTTCAAGAGATCCAATGTGCCTTTGGTAACTCCTACAGTTATTCAATACATACAATAAGACTATAAAGCAACTAATATGCCAAAGCCCCAAACAGAAACCAGTTTCTTTAAAGGCCATAAAACCTCAGATACGGATAGGATTTTCCTTGTCTCACCTGGACGTTGAGATGTAACTTCTTTAGACGTTTTACCAGTGTTTCTTTATTACATGGCACAAAAGCTTCAAGATGGGAGTAGACACCACTACGAATGCCAGGGCCTAGTTCCTGTAGCTGTAACTCAATGCTGAACAAAAACAACAAATAAATAGTACAGAATTTCTTTCAGGTACCGATACAAGCAAGGAGGCAAAGGCAGTGCAGTGACTCTTCTTTCGTTTTATCTTTGCATGATTTCCTAGACAGTATTTTTCAAGGAGAAAATAGAGAATTTATATAACCATAAATAAACTGGTGAATAATTTTTTGAAGAACAGGGGCAAAGTCTACATTTTTGGATAAAACACAGGAACTCTACTAAAAGCTCATTTCCTCAAAGAGATATTCATATCCTCTCTCCCCTATTGCAACTGCTAAGCTAGAGAGTTACACAGTTTCGATGAATTTAGAATATTTTTTCCTTACAGGTGTTTGAAAAAATTGCAGATTTGGAAGAGGTGAAGCCCTTCTGGCTACAGATACAGACTGTTTTTCATCCATCCTTGTCTCCATATTGTGCCTGCACTGCACAAACTAGATATTTAATAGTCTGTTCAATTTATTCCAATTCTTCAGTTCCTGTTTCCGTTTGTAAATTAGTTTTTTTAGACCAAAAATAAGTTGTTAAATGGGTATTTAACTTAATAGTTATTTAAAAAAAAAAAGGAAAAGAGTTTTAACAGCCGCCATATTCTCAGCCAGACAAGTCTACTAATAAATAATTGAGGTTTCTTCCAAGATGGAAGACACTGTATCTGGCAAGTGCTATTGTAGAAAGATAGGAACAGATGTTAATTTGAAGGCCAAGACCAAACTGGGGCTCTTGGCAACAAACTACGTCCAAATCACCACATTCTCTTACAAAAGAAGGGGCAGATAGATTTAATAAATAATTTTCACAAATAGAAGATGAATCCAAAGATTCAATTAACAGCTTTTGGGGAAGAAAAGAAGCCCTCCCATATCAAATATGTCCCTCACCTACAAGATACACTGTAATTTCAGAAAGAACGAAATGTGGAAAACTATGCTCTTAGCACTGGCAATAAAAATTCTTGGTATTAGAGAAGTCAAACACATATACAAATGGAAAAATGCTTAGAATCCATAAGAACCAGAAGGTCAAATGCAGAGGATCATAAGGGAAACAATCACTACTGTCATGAGTTCTGTGTATAAACATTTGGTTAAGTAACATTATGTGTGGATCTTAATTAAAAGTCTAGACTCTGGGTAGGGGGCTTTCTAGGCTTACCCCGTTATTAAAGATTAGTTGCAGCTGAAAATAAAACAGAAACTCCAAGTAGTAAGAGAAGTAAGAACAGAGTGACTCAGTGACATACTTATAAAAATCAGTGGTTTCCAAAGAGGCGGGGAAACTCAAAAGCACAAAGAGCTGACTCCCTGCTCCTAAGCCAATCAGAGAAACGTTTTAACCCTAAAGGTTACGGATTGTATCAGTCTATCACAAACATAAACAAATTCCTACCTGAGAACAGTATAATTTAAGCACCCATCCCTCACACATTTAATTTTTTTTTTCCCCTAAGAATTCCAATCTTCTAAGGTCTAAGAAGTACCTAAAACACACGGTAATGAAAAGTTTGAATTTCAGTTATTTTCACATTTCAGGGAAATAAAGTTTCCCCTAAAGCAACAAACTTTCCCTGAGCCTGCCTCCTTATACCCACCAGGTTCTTTTGCTTCTTTAAGTGAAGTCTATCTGCAAAGCAGATATCCATGCATGAAAGTTATGATGGATGGGTCTCAAACCTCTCATAATAAATTATGAACATGCGATCACTACAGGCTCTAAATGGATAAAAATATACTGGGACCATCTGCTGATAATGCATTAGAGGACAAACACTGGACTTTGTGAATAAATAAGCTTGAAACCCACTATATTTATTTATTTATTTATTTAATATATTTATTTATTTATTTGACAGAGAGATAGTGAGAGCAGGAACACAAGCAGGGGGAGGGGAGAGGGAGAAGCAGGCTTCCCACCAAGCAGGGAGCCCGATGCGGGATCACGACCTGAGCCGAAGGCAGACTGCCCAACAACTAAGCCACCCAGCTGCCCCTATATCCCTATCTTTACAAGGGCTCTCATTTGCCTCTGAGGAAGCCTCCAAGAAACGCAACATAGGAATCCCTAGCTGAAGCAATGGTCAACTTTATAAACAGGATTCTTCTGGCTCAGGAATACTTAGTCTTACCTGCATTTTCACACAGAATTTTAGAAACAGTCATTTCCCCATAGTTGATATAGGACTTATTTTCCTATCCCATCAACTCCCTCTTTTTATATTTATTTTTTTAAAGTTAAGCTCTACACCCAATGTGGGGCTTGAACTCATGACCCCGAGATCAAGAGTCACATGCTCTACCAACTGAGCTACCCAGGCACCCTTCTCCCTCTTTTTAAAAAACAGAATATTGGCGGGGGGGGGGGGGGGGGCCTGGGTGGCTCAGTCGTTAAGCGTCTGCCTTCAGCCCAGGGATCAAGCCCCGCATCGGGCTCGCCGCTCCGTGGGAAGCCTGCTTTTCCCTCTCCCATTCACCCTGCTTGTGTTCCCTCTCTTGCTGTCTCTCTCTCTGTTAAATAAATAAAATCTTTTTTTTTTTTAAAGATTTTATTTATTTATTTGAGAGAGAGAATGAGAAGGAGGAGGGTCAGAGGGAGAAGCAGACTCCCCGCTGAGCAGGGAGCCCGATGCGAGACTCGATCCCGGGACTCCAGGATCATGACCTGAGCCGAAGGCAGTCGCTTAACCAACTGAGCCACCCAGGCGCCCTAAATAAATAAAATCTTAAAAAAAAAAAAAAACAATATAGGGGCATCTGGGTGGCTCAGTTGATTGTCTGCCTTCAGCACAGGTCATGATCCCGGGATCCTGGGCTAGAGCCCCAAGTCAGGCTCCCTGCTCAGTGGGGAGTCTGCTTCTCCCTCTCCCTTTGCCCCTCCCCCCACTCATGCCCTGTCTCTCAAATAAATATATAAAATCTTAATAAAAACCCAGAATATATATCTCATTCAATCAGTTTGAAAACACTAGTAAAAGAAAAGCTGGGGCGCCTGGGTGGCTCAGTTGGTTAAGTGACTGCCTTTGGCTCAGGTCATGATCCTGGAGTCCCGGGATCGAGTCCCGCATCGGGCTCCCTGCTCGGCAGGGAGTCTGCTTCTCCCTCTGATCCTCCTCCCTCTCATGCTCTCTGTCTCTCATTCTCCCTCTCAAAAGAAAAAAAAGAAAAAAGAAAAGCTGACTAACTCCAAGTGAATTCTGGAATCTACTTAATTTCCTGAATTCTTCCTCAAGTATTCCAAATATCTTACCAATACTGTCCACATAACAGAACCACTAAAAGCTAGAAATTGAAGAAAGACTTAGGGAGCAGTAACCCAAACACAAAATCCAATATAGTTCTTACTTTACAGCAATAATTCAAAAGCCTGTTGATGTGTCGATTGGTAACACACGAGAGGGATGTAAATCCCTCCTGCCCCTGAACAACTTTAGAGCAACTGCTGAACACAACTCAGGCTGGACTGGGATCACAGGCAAAGAGTATCAAGATTTTGTTAGCAATGTATGCTTGAGGTAAAGGGGCAAATAGGTGAAGAGATCAAGCTGTCAAGCTGTGTATCTGCTGATCCAAGTCAAATTCAATTAAGCAAAAAGAGAAAGGTTTCCTATTCCAACAAACTCACCCCTCTTTCTGCCCAGAGTAAGGAAGCAGTGGTGAAGCAGAGCCAATACACCTGGACAATTTCATAGGAATTTACTACCCAAAATAATTACGTACCATGTGCCCTTAGAAGATCGATTCAGTCCAGAGAACCAAGGGATGTTTGTTTAGGGAAGTAGAAACAGACGCCAGGGGCATAAATAAGTGATTAAAATGGAGAACATTAAACTCTGAATACTACGGTTTTATAGAACTGGAAGCACACTGTGCGAAATAAAAAAAAAAAAAAAAACAGGCTCCAACTAGAGGATTTAAGATAGACACAGGGAGGCTTAAGGGAAGTCTGGTGGGGGGTGGGGGATACCTAGCTGGCTCAGTTGGAGAAGCATGCAACTCATATCTCAGGGCCATGAGTCCAAGCCTCACATTGGACATGGAGCCTACTTTTAAATAAATAAATAAATAAAATTTAAAATTAAAAACATTTTTTAAAGGCGGGGAGGGGCAACTGGCCAGCTCAGTCAGTAGAGCACGTGACTCTTGATTTCAGGGTCATGAGTTCGACCCCCATGCTGGGTGTAGAGATTACTAAAAAAAAAAAAAAAAAGAAGAAGAAGAAGAAGAAAGAGAGAAGCCTGTTAATGGAATGCTGATATTCTGCTTATCTGAGATGTTATGTCCCAAGGAAGGTCCTTTCTTTCTCTCAGGGGAGAAAAAGTCCGTCCGTCTTACAGAAGAGTAAAATAAAAAAGCACTCTGTCAGTCATAGGAAAAGGACCTGATCCAGTAAACTTGGGGCTCTCTAGTAGAAAGAAAAAGCAGCCAGTCAGATTCCTGATTAGGGAATCTGGGACAGCTCCGATGAGTAATGGTTACACTGTTTATTGAATCTGGGGTGTAAAAGGAGCTGGTGCAGGCAGGAAGCATTCGCCTCGCTTCCAGGCAGACAGAATCAATCTGAAAATCCCTGGCTAAAATAAAGAACAGGAACAAGAAATTCGTCTGTCACCATACCAGTAGCACACCAGGTTATGTGTTTCATGGGTCCATGGGGGACAAAAAAGATTTTTTAAGTACTCCGGAGAAAGAGAGATTGCACTTAATTAAAATAGTTATCAAGGGGGAGGGGAAAAACAAAAAAAGAAAATAGTTATCAAAGCAAACCAGTCCATCATCCTTTGTATCTTATGAGAAACTACCTCCAATATATATTTAAAAGACAGGACTCACAAACAGTATTGGAAACACTGCTTGTGGATGTGAGGGTGATCTGGCTGCGACATCTGTCACCCCATTGATCGCCAGAGTTGATTCGGCTGATCTGGCTGGCTAGGCGGGTGTCCCCTTCCTCCCTCACCGCTCCATGTGTGTCCCGCCCGAAGCTACGCGATCGGTCGAAGAGGATGACCTTCCCCGATAGAGGAGGACCGTTCTTCAGTCAAGGGTATATGAATAGCTGCGCTCCCCTGCTAGAACCTCCAAACAAGCTCTCAAGGGAACACTGCTTGTTTCTTTGTATATAATACTACTGAACCACCAAAAGCAGGCACACATTATTTTCATGTGAGAGGAGTAAAATCTGCTGCTTTCTCCAGGATTGCTTTTTTTCACCCAGTTCTGCTTGCAGCCAATTATACACTCCACTTCTAAAACCAATGGTCAAAATTTATAAGCCAATAGGTTTACAAGGGCAGCTTACTGGACCACAGTCTTAGAAGCTGCAGCTTCCTTAGTATCACACTCCAGCTAACAGTAAAAACTGTCACTAATTTAAATACAATCTGTATCCTGTATCTCAGCCTTCAGCTTCCCCTTCCCATTTTTCCTTTTGTCTTCTCCACACTGCCTCTCTCCTACCTCACAACCAGAATTTCTTCATTAAACCATACTTTCCATTTGGCTATAAATGTTTGTATGAATTATAATTAACCTTGCTAGATACCAATGAAATTATTTTTTCCAAGTCTGAATGAAAGTAGAAGGAAAATTATACCAAATTTAATATGAATACTCAGAGCTGTTCCAGAAAGACATTTTCATATAAAATGACAAAAAAAAATACATTTAAATCTAAAATAATATCAACCTGTAAAGTTGTAACCAACTATATGTTTAAATGAATTCTTAAAGTTTAAATAACTTTTTAGATTTTTTAATTAAAGAAGAAAATTACTTACTCCAGAAGAATATTATTCATATCCTGTGTAAAGAACTTTTTCCTTCCTTCTTCATCAAAAAGTTTGGCAGCCTAGAGAAACATAAGATTGTCAATATGGCTTTCTTTCTTTTTTTTTTTAAGATTTATTTATTTGACAGAGAGAGATAGCGAGAGAAGGAACACAAGCAGGGGGAGTGGGAGAGGGAGAAGCAGGCTTCCCACAGCGCAGGGAGCCCGATGTGGGGCTCGATCCCAGGACCCCGGGATCATGACCTGAGCCGAAGGCAGACGCTTAACAACTGAGCCACCCAGATGCCCCTTTCTTTTTTTTTTAAAGATGTTATTTATTTGACGGAGAGAGCGCGCGCGCGCGCGCGCACACACACACACAAGCAGGGGGAGAGGCAGGCAGACGGAAAGGGAGAAGCAGGCTCCCCAATGAGCAGAGAGCCCGCCATGGGGCTCATCCCAACACCCTGGGATCATGACCTGAGCCGAAGGCAGACGCTTAATGACTGAGCCACCCAGGGGTCCTGTCAATATGCTTTCAATAAACACATTGTTTCCATATTTATTTACTAAAGAATAAGCTTCTTGAGGGTGGGGCTACTGTGATTTACATTACTTTGTATCCTCCATAACCAGCTTAGCCCCTGGCATGAGTAGGCAATTACAGAGTGTTGAAACAAATTTAGCATATATACCATTGTTTCCTATTACCTCTGTATTTAATTTTTCTTAATCCTGCTAAATTAACAAAATTATACATACGAGACTTTTTAGTGCTTTGTGTATCTTGTGGACTTTGACTATCCATGGGTTTATTAATTATTGCTGTGATCTCCAAGATAAGCGGATATCTCACTTTCTATCGATAGTGTCTACAAAGTATCTGTCTGATATTCTATATGTTATACTCATTACCATGTTTAATCCTCCTAACAGCCAATGACATTGGTATGACAGCCCCCACTATACAAACAAGGAAGCTTAAATCTGTCAGAGGTTACATGACATGCTCCCAAATCACACTACTAATAAGTGGTGGATTCAGGACTCAGACCACAAGCTTTCTGACTTCAACTGCGCAACACTGCCACCCTGTACAAAGATACCTGCTTACTGCAGCCAGCCTAGGTTCCACCTAATTACTAACAACAAAAAAAACGTAGGCGAGGTTATTAACAAGGGATAAGCAAAAATTCATGCAATGAGCTTAATTTCATCATTATGTTTGTCACCTCGACCAGGTGACCAGAAATCAAGTATACCAGCACACCCTACCATAAGCAAAATTTACTGGGAAAATCACAAACAATGTAGTTGCGGTCCATGAGATATAAAACATCAAGAAGACTGATCTAATCATCTGAGCAAGCCATATGCTGACTCTGTCAATCCACCAAGTTATTTGACAACTGTACATGCAATAAATAGAAGAAAATTGCTAAGATGGGCCTCAGTACTTCTCAGAAAGAATGAAAACTGGGTATGTGCAGGGGGTGGAAATATATGAAAGGCATAAGGAAAACTAAACTTCAAGAAATGAATCAAAAAAAGTCAAGAGGTTGAACAGTGGAAGAATATTACAAAGTAAGAAAAGAGCCACAAGAAGCAATTCCTTATCACACAGACATGAGCATTTAAGCCAAGGATGACTTCTTACCTCCCAAAGAAAAAATACCATCTCATATTTCAAAAGAAAACATATAGCGAAGTCATAGATACCAGTAAGTGAAATCAAACTTCTCACTGATGATTTCCTACTAAGGAGTTAGGGAGCGCCTGTATTAAACCTGGCAGGGCTATTACAGAGAGAGAGAGAGAACAGTTTTTGGTATATAAGATATGACAAAGCTTTTACAAGATGGAATACACTCATTACTAACCAATTTTATTAAGTGAAACTGAATGGCATATAACACAGCAGACAGAGTGCCTACTATGGAGCTCCACGGTCCTGCCTTTAAATGCTGACTTTGAATCATGGCTCAGCCATCTAAAAATTACGTGGCCTTGGGCAAATCACTTAACCTGTTGAACCTTAGTTTCCTCATCTATTAAATGGACGAATACTACCTACCTCACTTGATTGTTGGAGGATTAGACTACACAGTAGGTAAAGTACACTAAACCCAATCAGGGTGCTGTCTCCTGATTGGTAAATGCTATGTGAGACACAGCAGCACTGTACTAAATACAGAGTACAGGTTTCTGCTAAATAAACAAGAGCTATTATTTTTATTTTATTTTTTTAAAGATTTTATTTATTCATTTGAGAGAGAGAGACAGAGAGAGCACAAGCAGGGGAAGAGGCAGAGGGAGAGGGAGAGGAAGGCTCCCTGTTGAGCTGGGAGTCCGACATGGGGCGCGATCCCAGGACCTGGAGATCGTGAACTGAGCCAAAGGTAAAGGCTTAACCATCTGAACCACCCAGGCACCCCAAGAGCTATTATTATTAATAATACCTTGCAGATCAGGGCGCCTGGGTGGCTCAGTTGGTTAAGTGACTGCCTTCGGCTCAGGTCATGATCCTGGAGTCCCAAGATCAAGTTCCGAATCAGGCTCCCTGCTGAGCAGGGAGTTTGCTTCTCCCTCTGCCTCCCCCTCTCATGTGCTCTCTCTCTCTCTCATTCTCTCTCTCTCAAATAAGTAAATCTTAAAAAAAAAAAGTATCTTGCAAAATGTGGGTCACATCACTAACACGTTTTAAAACCTAGAAGAAACTAAAGGTTTTAGGGATAGGCAACATGGGATAGCAAAAGGCACATACATACTTTGGAGTCAGGTGAACCCTTGTGGCTAAATTCTGGCTCCACCACTTACTAGTTGCATGGACCTGACCAAGCTATTTAACCTACCTCAAGTTTCTTAACCATAAAAAGGAAATAATACCTGTATTTCCTACACAGAGTAGCTGAGAAGATTAAATAAAAAACCTACTTATTATCAAGACTACAGATTGTATACTTTTCAAAAAATAAGCACAGAAAATAGCAAAAGAATGAAAACAAAAGAGATGAGTAAGAGAACAGGATAAAAAAGAAACTGACAAAGATCAACTATATAATTATAACAACTGTAAAAAGATAAAATCATTTGTTAAAAGAGAAAAGACTCAGATGAGGTCAATAAAGAAATTACATGCTGTCTATAAGAAAAAGAGCTAAAGGGACGCCTGGGTGGCTTAGTCATTAAGCGTTTGCCTTCGGCTCAGGTCATGATCCCAGTGTCCTGGGATCGAGCCCCACATCGGGTTCCCTGCTCGGCGGGAAGTCTGCTTCTCCCTCTCCCACTCCCCCTGCTTGTGTTCCCTCTCTCGCTGTGTCTCTCTCTGTCAAATAAATTAAAAAAAAAAAAAAAAAAGCTAAAATAAAGAAAATCAAAGAGGTTGAAGGTAAATGATGAGAAAAGCTATATGTAAAAATAAAGAGACAGGAGACAGTAAGTCAGACAAAACTGAATTCAAGGTAAAAGGCAGTAATAGCACAAAAAGTCACCTTCAAATGATAATCATCACAAAGATCAAGACTTTTATAAGTCAAACAACACATCATGGAAATAATGCAAAAACGATGGTAAACACAATTTATAACCTAAGAAATACTGGCAATGAGATATTTTAACAGACTTTGCTAAGTTCTGGACTAATGAAGTACATTAAAATAAGTAAAAATACAGGGGAACTAAAATTAAGTCACTTCAGAAGAAATGCTAAAGAATAAAAAACAGAATTGCTAAACCAAATCTGTGGGCCAGTTACCAGAAAAATTAAATAAATCTAAATATTCCTGTAATCAGATATTTAAATTTTAGGAAAAGTTATGAGAAATAAATGTAAAGATGATTAGTAAATTTTAAAATGTGACGTAAGTTGGGTTACTATAACCCCAGGAGAAAGAAGCAAGGTGAATAGTCCATACATTACCACCTCATTAATTATTTTTTATAATACTATACCATTTGCAAATGCATGGATTAAGATCTAGAAAAATAAATAATTTAATAGTGGTTCTCTGCTGGGAGTGGGGAATGTCAGATTATGGGGGATCTTTCCCTACGTATGATAATACATTTTGTATTGTGCATTTCACTTTTGTAGTCAGGAAAAAAATTAGGACTAAAATATGGCGTGGGTTCAAATAAACACATTAAAGTAATCGGGCACCTAGGTGGCTCAGTTGGTTAAGTGACTGCCTTCAGCTCAAGTCATGATCCTGGAGTCCCAGGATCGAGTCCCACATCCAGCTCCCTGCTCAGCTGGCAGTCTCCTTCTCCCTCTGACCCTCCCCCCTCTCATGCTCTCTCTCTCTCAAATAAATCTTTAAAAAAATAAAATAATCAAAATAATCAGAAAGGGCATTTTAAGCTAGGTTTGGCGAGGGGGGAAGGGCAGAGGGAAAGGGAAAAGCAGACTCCCTGCTGAGCAGGGAGCCTGACCTGGGGCTGGATCCCAGGACCCTGAGATCATGACCTGAGCCAAAGGTAGATGCTTAACCACTGAGCCACCCAGGCGCCCACTGGCATGTTATTTTAAGTCAGAATACTATCTCCCTGAGATTAAATGGATAAGTGTGATGACATTTATCTGGATTTGCAGCTAGTTAAACAAAGATTATGAAGGCAAGTCAATCTAGAGAGGTATCTAATGTGACATGCTAAAGCTCAGCTCTCAAGTTTGTCCTAATAGGAACACAGTGCATGCTTATTAAATGTGATTAGCTGGAAAGGATTAGCTGGAAAAATCAATTATAAAAGAACTAGATGTCAATATAGTTTGGACCAAGTTCAGGTATACTTTTGAAATGTTACTATTTGCTCCTATCTTCCATTGTCTTTACACGACTTTTTTTACAATAAAAATTGTATTTATGAAACCTATGCTGAAAAATATAAGATGAGGGGCACCTGGGTGGCTCAGTCGTTTAAGTGTCCGATTCCATTTCAGCTCAGGTCATGATCCCAAGGTACTGGGATCAAGACCCACTTCAGGCTCCGCATTCAGTGGGGAATCTGCTTGAGGATTCTCTCCCTCTTCCTCTGCTCCTTCCCCCTCATGCTCGTTTGTGTAAGCATCCTCTCACTCTTTCTAAAATAAATAAATCTTTTTTTTTTTTAAGTATTTTACTTTTTTTTTTTTAAAGATTTTATTTATTTATTTATTTGACAGAGAGAGAGACAGCGAGAGAGGGAACACAGCAGGGGGAGTGGGAGAGAGAGAAGCAGGCTCCCCGCTGAGCAGGGAGCCCGATGCGGGGCTCGATCCCAGAACTCTGGGATCATGACCTGAGCCGAAGGCAGACGCTTAACGACTGAGCCACCCAGGCGCCCCTAAAATAAATAAATCTTTAAAAAATGTATAAGATGAAATAAAATAATAAAACGATCACCCATATGATGCTATAACTATAGTTATACATATTTCTACTTAAAATCAAAGGCCTATGTGTACAGCCAATGCCTAAAAGGAAATATAGAAAATTATAAGTTCTTTATATGGGTGCTGAAATTGTGGGTTATTATTTTTGTCTTACAAAAAGCATTTATTGTTAAGTTCATGTAGCAAATAAGAAACAAGGGGATTATTACACTTACTACACGGAGGTCTTCAATGCGTTTTTCAAGAAGGACAGGTAGACCCTCTGGGAGTGTAGGCACTACCTTGGGCATAACCTGAGAGGCATAGGTTGGCTGGGTGGTGTTTCCATTCTCTCCCCCTGACTCAGAGAGGGGGCTACCATCAGAAGCAGCATCCAGTAATCTGTCAAAGTCGAAATCATCTAGCATCTCTAGCGCATTTTCAGCTTCCTGAAACAGTTCATGTTCATTTGTGCCAACAAAAATGGGGAGGTCTGGATCAGCACTGTTCAGATTTAAGTCCGGGACATCATTTCCCAATGCTACAGCAGTGGAGGGGGGTTTATTCAGAGAGGAGGTCGTTAAGTTCACTGGGACTTTGGGGTTAGGCTCCTTCTTCAATGCATCCTTCTCTTTCTGAAATTTTCGTATCATGGCAGCTAGAGAAAGAGAATCTTTATAACGTTTCTTCTTTTTTTCAGACTTGTGGGAATTCAGAGCCACAACTCTGTGAAGAAAAAAGTCATCCGTTAGGCTATGTACGATTTTAACGTTTAAAGCCTCATGTAAATAAGCAGACACAGATCATCAAAACAATCATCTGACAGGTGGGAGAGCAAATTTCTTATTAAATTATCATTTTATCACAGCATCTTCCTCATCATCTGGACTGTCACTGAGGAAAGGTCGACAGGTAAATGGCCATCAGAGTGGAGAAAATGAATAGACTAAAGTTAACAGAAAGAAACAAAACTGAATGTAGCTCAGGTTTATGAGAATATATGAAGTTAAACTTACTACTCCTTTTGGACTGTTCACATTCTTAAGCACTTCTTTAAAGTGGTCACCTAAAAAATTAACCTAGTAAAGAAATACACTTTTGCTGAAAACAGAGTTCCTTACAACCAGAGCTCACACAAGTACAACTTTAAGCTGGTACTCCAGGTGGGGTTTGTTTGTTTAAAGATTTTAGTCATTTGACAAGGAGCACAAGCAGGGGGACCAGGGCGGGGGCGGGGGGGGAGAGGGAGAGAGAGAAGCAGGCTCCCTGCCGAGCAAAGAGCCCGATGTGGGGCTTGATCCCAGGACCTTGGGATCATGACCTGAGCCAAAGGCAGATGCTTAACAACCGAGCCACCCAGGCGCTCCAACTCCAGGTGGTTTGTGCTACAAACTGCCAAAGAAATGCAAAATCTTTCTAGACCCTATTCTATCTGCTGCTACCTTCTGATCATTTTCACTTTCCATTCTGGGAACAGCCATGTGAGGCAATCATATATGGGTAATTTTCTATGACAATGTTCTCCCTACAGAAACCATGAGGGAAAGATGGTTTCAGTTTATCACTTTCTCTAGACACCTTTTCTACATTCTATGGCTTATATTCTTCTATGCGCACTACAGAATCAAAAAAGATGATTTGTACCTTCAAGGGAAGCCCATGTTTCATTTACTGTTATATACTCCAAACCACAACAATACCTGGTATACAACAAGTACTTAATAAATATTTGCTGCATGAATAAGCTATGAATTTGAGAAAATGACAAATTCAATAAAGGCATTATAGACTTTGTTCCCAAAGAAGTTTACTTGTAAATAATAAATTCATTAGTAATATATGTTTTTCCTTAATTACTTAATGACTCCAGGGTCACTAAAATCTCATGCTTACAGGATGATAAATACCTCCCTATATCCTTTTGAATACTGATAACCCAAAAAATTCAGATGCACCTCCCCTGGTAAGGAGGGGAAGAAAATCAAGCCTCTCATAGTTTCTGTCCCTTAGTTCTCCAAAAAAAGTCATGGAGAAGCAAGAACAACTGGTAATTTTATGAATGCATGGTACAAACATTTTATTCTTATAACTTTTTTGAGAAATTCTACTTGACTTTTAGAGACAATATCATTACCTAAAGTTACAAGTGTGAAGTTACACTGTACAAGTTACAAGTGTGAAGCAAAGCTAAATAACTGGCTTTTTAAATAGTAAAACTATAAATTGTTCACACAAAGACTACTGCCAATCCTCAATCCCCAGGCATCTAATTAGCTTAGTTCTAGCACAAAAAGTTTAAAACATTTGTTCAAGGTTTATACCATCTTTTCAAGCTGGTTCTTGTTGGCTAAAAGTTATAATGAGCAAAATACTTAATGAATTAATATGTAAATCTGATCTAAAACATCATGAGTCTCTAAAATGATAAAGCCTTCTACTTATCAATCAATCAATACGATATTAATTAATTAATTAATTAAAATCTAAGATGACATTGAATACTGGGTGGCATGAGAGGTCAGATTGCTGTCAGACATGGCCCAGAGATATGGGCATGAACATGGCCATAGTAAACTGGAACTTCCAGATTTTACATATTTTTTTTTTTTTTTTAAGATTTTATTTATTTGACTGAGAGAGACACAGCGAAAGAAGGAACACAAGCAGGGGGAGTGGGAGAGGGAGAAGCAGGCTTCCCGCTGAGCAGAGAGCCCAATGTGGCGCTCGATCCCAGGACCCTGGGATCATGACCTGAGCTGAGGGCAGATGCCTAACGACTGAGCCACCCAGGCGCTCCGGAATTTCCAGATTATAAACAATGGAAGATAGAAGGGACACCATTAAAACCGTCCAGGAGAAGCTGACTGCACACGGGTTAGGGATCCATGGGGCGCAATGGAGCTTGGAGATACACGGGTGCCTTTGCAAACAATGTTTCCTCTGTTGGTGCATTGTTAAAAGGATTCAAATGGGGATTTACTGCATTTGTGGTAGCTGTAGGGGCTGAATATTACCTGGAGTTCAAGAATAAAGGTAAGAAGCACGACTGAAGATAATACCTGGAAATATCTTAAAGGCTTAACTCTCTTATAAAAATAAGATTTCTTCAATGTAGCCTACTCGTCTGTGTGTTTTTCCCTTACAGAATACTAGTAAAATTTAATAAAGTATATATGTGCAAAAAAAAAAAAAAACTAAGATGACAAAGCTTTCTATTTACTAATAACTTATACTTAATATATTAATATTATTAAAATATAAGTTAAGTCATTTATAAATAGAGTATTAAATTAGACCCAGCTAAGCTGAATGAATTAATGCTAAATATATCTTTCTAAAAGGGCAGCTAGTCATGCTGTAACCTTATAATGTTTAATTTTACGTACCCCAATTGTTTGGGTACTTTTTTCCTTGGCTTCTTCTCCTTTTCCCCTTCCTCTTTCCGCTTCCGCTTCTTCATTTCAATATCATCTTCTTTTATTTTGGGAATCTGCAAATGATAGAAGAATGTATCACTTATCTGAGTATCAATGGGTTACTCTTTGATGTTATCAATCTATCATCCAGGGCAGTGTTTTCTCTCAAAGTTCAGTGTACATTAGGAGTGCTTGTTATAAATGCAGATTCTTGGGGTTTACGAACACTGCCTGGTTTTGTTTTTTTTTTAAATAAATAGGATAATATCATTTTTTAAAAGATTTTATTTATTTATTTGAGAGAGAATGAGAGACAGATAGCAAGAGAGGGAAGAGGGTCAGAGGGAGAAGCAGACCCCCCGCTGAGCAGGGAGCCCGATGTGGGACTCGATCCCGGGACTCCAGGATCATGACCCGAGCCGAAGGCAGTCGCTTAACCAACTGAGCCACCCAGGCGCCCCACTGCCTGGTTTTTAACAAACATTTTGGTGATTCTGGTACAAGTAAGTCCTTGGATCACACTTGAAGAAACACTTAACTAAGGACACTCTGTATGTTTCCTAAAACAATATATACATTCCATAGAATTAGCTTTATAAATTACATCTTAGGAAAGGTAATGGCTTTTAATCATTTCTATACCAAGTCTGAAGGCAGACACTTAACAACTGAGCCACCCAGGTGCCCCTATTTCTATACCAAGTCTTAACTTATCCTAGAAACTTACCCTTAACCCCCAAACAGTAGATTATTAGACCACATATGGAGAGAGAAGTTTTAAAAGAAAATACAATTCTACTATGATGTATCAATTTCCCCTTATCTACATAATTTTACCTTAGAGCATGTAAATAACTATAGATTCATTAAACAATGTTAGCATTTTACTTTTCCTTACATTCACAAGTTAATTTAAAAAGTACACCCTATTAACTGAACACTCATTACTATTGCAATGCTAGATAAACTTACTTTGGGCGGCTTGTGCTTTTGGTTGTCTGTAGTATCTTCTTCTTCAGTATCTGAAGCTTGGCGAAACTGCAGAGTGCCAGTGTTGATGTAAAAGCCTCCATATTTTGTTGTTAGAGAAGCAGGAACTAACTCGTCATACTATATTTAAAAAAAAAAGGTTTTAGACATAGCCTATTATTAATTCTATAAACATCTCAAAGAAATTCAATCACTATGTCAGCATCTTTCTTAAATCCTAACTACAAAGCTGAATGCAATGAGGATGTTTGTGGAATAAATTTAGAAAAAGTTAATAAATGGGATAAAAATGAGCCTGGATTACTCAGTATTTATAAAGAACGGAAATTCTGGAATAACAACGCAAATTCTATCTATCATCTGCTGAGAAAAATTTAAAGATCACTACTACTATTCTTAATGATAAAGGATTCTTTTTTTTTAAATAAATCTTTATTTATGTATTTTTTAAGTGATCTCTACACCCAACATGGGGCTCAAACTCACAACCTAGAGATTAAGAGTCACATGCTCTACCAGCTGAGCCAGCCAGGCACCCCAAGAACAAATGATTCTGATGAGAAATTGAAACAAGTTAAAACAGATGACTAAATGTCCAGGCAAAGAATAAATTTCATTTCCTATAATATCAGTATATAATTTTACTCATAAGGAGATTATAAAGAATAACAAAGTTATTTCTTCTGTCTTAGCTCTAAGCTTCTAGGTGAAAAAAAAAATTTTTTTTAAGATTTTATCTATATGACAGAGATAGCAAGAGCAGGAACACAAGCAGGGGGAGCGGGAGAGGGAGAAGCAGGCTTCCCGCGGAGCAGGGAGCCCGATGCAGGGCTCGATCCCAGGATCCTGGGACCATGACCTGAGCCAAAGGCAGACGCTTAACAACTGAGCCACCCAGGCACCCAAGGTGAAAATTTTTAAAACAAAAATAGCATGTGTGTTTAAAAAGGAAGCAGAAAAAAACTGTCCAGTTCAGTAAGCATACACTGTAATGAGACAGGTACTTTGCTTGGAGCAAGAAATGTAAATTATCTAAACTAGACTGACGGTCAGACCTAAAATACCACTTAAGATGATGTCCTCTAAGCTTGGATTTTAAAGTTTATCATTTCTCACCTGATGAAAATGGACAAAAAGCAAACTTTAAATGCAAGTCAATCTTCACCAAATGATGGAGTCCATAGTGGTTGAGAAAAAAGGAACTACTTATCTAACAGAGCTAGATACCTGCTACCAGAGGTCCCCAGAACTCTACTTACAGGTTCTTCATATTTTACATTTTTAAGAAAGTTAGATTTTTAAGGAGAATCCTTTGCCATGGACAAGGAATACAGAGAATGTACTAGTTACTGTAAGAATATTAAGGCTAAGTACAAAAATTTTGCTTTTAACCTGTATCCTTTTCAATTAAATGGTTGACTAGAAAAAGAAAGAATTTCCAGCTTAATCATATTGAATCAAAAAGTAATGAAGTAGGGGGGAGAAAAGGAATGAATTGTTTTCTTGTTACTTCACTTGATGGGCTATTATAAAGACCTACGGGTAAAACCTTCAGAAAGGGTCCAGTACAATCTGTAAGCAAAGGAGTGATGTGAAGAGTAGAGAATTAAGAGTGAAATGACTTTGTAGTAATTATTTTTGGAAATGTGCAATTGTGACAAACACATCTGTACTTTTCGCTTACACTGCTTTATAATTTACAATGCTTCTTCATATAAATTATTTCACTTGGTCCTCCTGATACCTTTGAGGCAAAAAAGACAAGTTTTATTCCCATTTTATAAGTGAAAACCAAATTTAGAGGTTAAGAACCTTGCCAGAATAATTTTTTAAGCTTATGGTAGAGGCTCTGGCTGTATTTCAAACTATCCACTACACCAAGCAGCTTCTCCGACAGGAAACAAGTTCATCACTACATTATAGGGCAACATGGGTGTATTCAACATCTGTATGCGGCAGTATTTTACTAAGCTTTCCCTATCGGAACACTCCTCTGGAGAACAAGCTCTTTATGCATATTTAATTCAGCCTTTTAAGTACAATGTGTTAAGAGGCAATGGAGCACTGAACTTGAAAACCAGAAGACCTGGATTTAGATCCTTTCAATGACTGGCAATTGTGACCCAGAGGAAATCATTTAACATCAATACTTTGGGGTTGTGTAACAATGACAACATCTAGTGAAATTTAAAAGAAACAACCTAAATAAAGTGTTACTCATGCCTGGTATTATAATTTATTAATAATAAAGAAAAACATTTTCTTTTAGTCTTTACAAAATTTGGCAGTATCAGTGAGACTAAAAATAATCTTCAAAAGCATTTATTTTCAGGTATTTAGAGTAATAAGTAGTACATGATTCTGACAATTAAATAGAACCAGATTATTTTCACTCTCTATCAAATAATTACAAACAGTGAAAGCTTACTGGTAATACAATCAATGAAAAGAACAGAAAATCATTTGGTTGGATTATAATTGTCTTATGTCTGAATTATCTCATAAAAAGAACCCAATAATCTATTAAAGATAATGATACAAAATTATTTGGCAAGTCAATAAACAAGATATATTCTAATTCAATTTCCTCTTACAAAGCAGGAACCTACCTTGTCCTTTAAATGTCAGCAACTAATTCTAAAATTTCTATACAACAACTTATACCTACAAAATTTGTCCTTATTTATTAAAGCAGTAGCTTTCAAATTTTCTTCACCACCACCCAAGTGGAAAATACATTACACATCAAAACCCAGTGCATGCACACACACATATACACATTAAAAAACACATAATCTACTATGATTTGCTATGGTAGCTCCTATTCTATTCTACTTCATTTTCATTAAAAATGTTGGCCACACTCTCTAAATTGATATATAATCCAATTATGGGTTGCAAAAGTCAGTCTGAAAACACTTTATTCAAATATTTTGACTGTAGCAGAGAAAACTGGGTAATGCTACTAGATTTCCTTAGAAATCTTTAGAAACCGAGTCAAGTCTAGAATCTAGGAATTTTGACTTGTGTTTCATATCAAGGTCAAGACTCTTAAAAACATTCCATCCCTTAACCTACAAAAAGGTTTGTCAACCTTTCTGGTAAAACAAGAAGACTTCTCTACTCCAAAGGGCATTGTCAGTATTTTACTCCTATAGACCAGGCTATCTGGTATGGTAAATCAGTTTATGTCAAGACACTAAAATAACTTAGGAGTATCACAGGGTATCCACTACGCCCTGCTGGAAGTTCTACGTATCACTCTCCTACCACTGTATGCCTTGTACTCATCTATAGAAGCCAGGAAAAAAAAATACTGATTTGTGGGTAATACTACAATGCTTACCTTGGTGTCACTTTCTGTATATTCTAAGTAATCACTGTACAATGCAGAGGATACCGTAAGTCCAGGGTTTAGATTACTTTAGTGCACTGAGAAGAATGTAAGAACATGTACCTTTTACCTACTCCCAAACACGATATGCCTTCTTTCACTTGCTATGTGATCAATGGACTGCTACAGTCCTTAAATGCTTTCCTAAATTCCTCTTCATTTTATAGGAGAAAGAGGACTCCAGGGGAAAAGCTGCAGGGTGTGATCAAAACAGACAGGCAGTAAAGGATGGCATTCAATCACCACCAGTGTAGTAAGGGTTGGCAGCAACAAAAAAACAAAGTACATTTTAAAGATGTCTGCCAGATTAACTTCCACCCAGTAGCTCCAATCTTCAAGTTCATATGGTTCTTATGTACAGGTCATTTGAAAATACACCTGCTCAAGTTTGGAAATATCAATAAAAATTCAAGATGTAAATACCCTTGATCAGTAAATCCCACTGCTAGAAATTTATCCTATACATATATTTGCACTAATTATCTTACATATTTACTCAAGTACACAAAGATAAATGTACACAGATGCTCAACTGTTTGTAAGCACATAAAAGTGGAAACAATTTAGATGTACATCAACAAAAGACTGGTTAATAAAAACAAGTACTGAACTATTTTAGTAACTTTATCCTTGACTTCTATCCCAAACAAAGAATTGCTGCTATATTAAAGATACATTACTCACAGCCTCTGAGTTATCAATAAATGGATCTGTCTCATCATAGCCAAAGCCTATATCAATTAAATCTTGTAGCCGATCCTTCCGGTGTTTACGGGGTTTCCCACCCTGCAAAAAACAGATATGTTAGACTGATCTCAGTACTCATGCTGTTTCCATAAATTTAAAAAATACCTGTCAAAAGAATTCCAAGTAATTTCTTTAGATAATCCCGACCTTCAAGAGGTTGAATTTAAGTCCCCCCATACTTTGAATGTTAAATTGTACTTAGGGACTTGCTCTCAAAGAGTAGGGTATGAAAAGGAGGGGACAAAGTAACTTTATTTTTTAAGAAGATTTTATTATTTATTTGAGAGAGAGAAAGAGAGCATGAGCAGGGGGAAGGAGGAGAGAGAGAGGGAGAAGCAGACTCCCCCTGAGCAGGAAGCCCCACAAGGGGCTCGATCCCAGGACCCTGGGATCATGACCTGAGCCGAAGGCAGACGCTTAACTGACGGAGCCACCCAGGCACCCCATTCATGTCATACTTAAAGAAACCTTTATTATAGTTATAAAGAACTCATTCTATCTTTGGTATAAATGTTACCAGTATACTAAAAGTCATATATAAGCTTGTTATAAGTAGTTTAAGTGAGCAGGACACCTACTAATATTATTGTGGCACTACTAAAACAAGTGTTTAGTTCAGTCTCTAAGACTCATTTTAGATATTCAAATATATTCACTCAAATTTAACTATACTTTCTAAGCATCTTCCTAACACCTCCTGACCCGATTGTTTTTTAGCACAGGAGTGGGCCATGAGGAAGAAAATGCTCAGAAAGAGTAAGGAAAACAGTAAGCGGTAAGGATTCTGCCTACCAACAGGCCACCACTGAAACAGAGTAAGTCCAGCAGGAAGCATGGGATGCAAGATGTGAATCTCTTACTCAGTTTCAATTCTCAGTGCGTATCTCTCAATGTAAAGTGATTCTAATGGTGAAAGATGGATAAGTTTTGTGCAACATGGCCCTTAAATAAAAACAAACTGTTCTATCTTATTTCCATGCAAAGAAATGATCTGTTCCAGTGTTTGATGGAAAAAATGGTTATGCTGAACCTGCTGAGAGATGTCACCAACATAATTTGTAAAAGTAATTCTGACTAAATGTTATATTTGTATTACATACAGATGTTAAAAAACCTAACCCCCATAAGCTATGACTTCATTGTATGCTTTTGGGGGGACAAAACACCACTACACCATTACCACCAAGAAAGTCATTATGGTGTGAGATAAAGCAGTGGTTCCCATATTTTTAGCTTTTACAAGTTAGGTAAATTTCAAAAACAATTCTGAAGACCAATACAAGGTGACAACCCTTTTTTTATTTTGCTAAGTAAGGCCATTAAAGACATAATCTCAAAACAACAATCCTTCTCAAGAAATACTAGTTGGCAACCTTAAACATACAGACATATATGTAACATATATACATATACACACATATATACTCAGCATGTGTGTGCTTACATGCAACACACATAATAAGTTGTTCTAATTTTTTCCATTTGCCAGGTCTGCAAACTGGAACCCTTACAGCTAGGTTACAGATCTACCATTAGAATCAGAAGTCAAAAAACAAAACAAAACAAAAAAAACCCCAACAAAGCCCAAAATCAGAAGTTGGGGGACAGAAAGAGGTATTTCTAGGATAGGAGTTATTCTGTTAAGAAAAGTCACATACAAGCAATTAGGTACATGAGTGACTGTTTCACCCAAAAACCAGAGAGATAATGATGTAATGTATGGTAATTAACATAACATTAAAAAAAAAAAAACAAAAAACCCAGAGAGAGCTCTAAAAAGAATATAAAAACCCAAAGATATATGAAAACTAATATAAAAATATCTTAGTTCATGAAAAAATATAAAAACAAATGAAGAATACTAGTCCTGTCACATAGTAAATATATTTAAAGTTATAGGAGTTAGCAACATTAAAAAAAAAGCCCATATATGATAAACCCACAGCAACATCACCCTAAATGAGGAAAAATAGGGAGCTTTTCCCCTATAATTAGGAACAAGACAAGGAAATCCACTCTCACCACTTTTATTCAACATAGTACTGGAAATCCTAGCCAGAGCAATCAGACAAGAAAAAGGAATAAAAGGCATCCAAACCCGGAAGGGAGAAGTAAAACTTCCACTATTTGTAGATGATCTGATACGATATATAGAAAACCCTAAAGACTCTACCAAAAAACTACTAGAACTGATAAATGAATTCAGTAAGGTCTCAGGAAATAAAATCAATTTACAGAGATCTATTGCATTTTTTTAAAAATTTATTTATTTATTTGAGAGAGAGAGAGAGAGAAAGGGCACAATTGGGGGGAGGGTCAGAGGGAGAGAATCTTCAAGCAGACTCCCCACTGGGCACAGCGTCTAACACGGGGCCTGATCTCATGACCCATGAGATCATAACCTGAGATGAAACCAAGAGTTGGACAGTTAACTGACTGAGCCACCCAGGCGCCCCAACTCACTGCATTTCTATACATTAAAAATGAAGTAGCAGAAAGAGAAATTAAGAAAACAATCTCATTTACAACTGCACCAAAAATAATAAAATACCAAGGAATACACTTAACCAAGGAGGTGAAAGATCTGTACTCTGAAAACTATAAAATACTGATGAAAGAAATTGAAGATGATACAAATAGAAAGATATGCCATGCTCATGGACTGGAAGAACAAATACTATCAAAATGCCTATACTACCCAAAACAATCTACAGATTTAATGTAAACCCTATCAAAACACCAACAGCATTTTTCACAGAACTAGAGCAAACAATCCTAAAATTTGTATGGAACCACAAAAGACCCCAAATAGCCAAAGCAAATTTGAAAAAGAAAAACAAAGCTGGTGGTGTCACAATCCCAGATTTCAAGTTATATTACAAAGCTGTAGTAATCAAAACAGTATGGTACTGGCACAAAAACAGACACATAGATCAATGGAACAGGATAGAAAGCTCAGAAAAAAAACCCTGATTATGTGGTCAATTAATCTTCAACAAAGGAGGCAAGAGTATACAGTGGGAAACAGTCTCTTCAATGAATGGTATTGGGAAAACTGGACAGCAACATGCAAAAGAATGAAGCTGGATCACTTTCTTACACCATATACAAACACTCAAAATGGATTAAAGACCTTAATGTTGAGACCTGAAACCATAAACATACTAGAAGAGAGCACAGGTAATAATCTGACATCAGCCATTGCAGCATTTTTCTAGATCTGTCTCCTGAGGCAAGAAAAACAAAAGCAAAAATAAACTATTGGGACTACATCAAAATGAAAAGCTTCTGCACAGCCAAGGAAACAATCAATAAAACAAAAAGACAACCTATTGAATGGGAGAAGATATTTGCAAATGACATATCCAGTAAGGGGTTAGTATCCAAAATGTATAAAGAACTTACACAACTCGACACCAAAAAAAACAATCTGATTGAAAAAAGGGCAGAAGACATGCACAGACGTTTCTCCCATGAAGACCTACAGATGGGGGCGCCTGGGTGGCTCAGTTGGTTAAGCGACTGCCTTCGGCTCGGGTCATGATCCCAGGGTCCTGGGATCGAGCCCCACATCGGGCTCCCTGCTCGGCGGGAAGCCTGCTTCTCCCTCTCCCACTCCCCCTGCTTGTGTTCCCTCTCTCGCTGTATCTCTCTCTGTCAAATAAATAAAATCTTTAAAAAAAAAAAAAGACCTACAGATGGCCAACAGACACATGAAAAGATGCTCAACATCACTCATCTTCAGGGAGATGCAAATCAAAATCACAATAAGATATCACTTCACACCTGTCAGAATGGCTAAAATAAAAAACACAAGAAACAAGCATTGGCAAGGGTGCAGAGAAAAAGGAACCCTTGTGCACTGCTGGTAAGAATGCAAACTAGCGCAGCCACTCTGGAAAACAGTATGGAGGTTCCTCAAAATATTAAAAATAAAATTACCATATGGTGCAGTAATTCCACTACTGGGTATTTACCTGGAGAACATGAAGACAGTAATTCAAAAAGATATATGCACCCCTATGTTTACTGCAGCATTACTTACAATAGCCAAATTATGGAAGCAGTCCAAGGGTCCATCAGTAGATGAATGGATAAAGAAGATGTAGTGTATATACACACCAACACACAGAGGAATATTATTTACCCATAAAAAAGCATGAAATCCTGCCATTTGCAAGAACATGGATGGATCTAGACAGTAAAATGTTAAGTGAGGTAAGTCAGTCAGAGAAAGACATACCATATGATTTCATGCATATGTGAATTTAAGAAACAATAGAAATGAAGAAAAGGGGAAAAAAAGAGAGACAAACAAAAAACAGGCTTTTAACTACAGAGAACAAACTGATAGTTACCAGAGGAGAGGTTGAGGGGGAGGGGGGAATGAGTGAAACAGGTGAAGGGAATTCAGAGTACACTTATCTTAATGAGCATTGAGTAATATACAGAACTGCTGAATCATTATTTTGTACACCTGAAACTAATATAACACCAGATGTTAACTATACTGGAATTAAAATTTAAAAATTAAATTAAAAATAAAGTATGGGAGTTAAAATCGTTATACTAGGAATACAAAAATAAACATAAATGGACAATGTTCAGAAACTTAACCTAGTATGTAAGAATTGAACACGAGAAAGGCAACATTACAACTCAGTGGAGAGTAATTAATAGATCAAATAAATGGAATTAAAGATACTTCTATCATCTATCAAATTATAAAATTTTTAAATTCTGGCAAAACGGAGAAGAAACAGGACCACTCAAGCACTGCTGGCAACAGTATAGCAGGAAACTCTCTTGGAAAGAAATCTGAAAGAATCTGCCAAGAATTCTGCATACTCCTGAATGTTCTTCTTTTGCTGCTTCTTTATTTTCCAAACTTTCTATGAAGTATTAATGTCATAATGGAAATACACTAAAACAATTTCTAAAACCCTTTACCTATTTGACCTGATAATTCTACGTAAGCTTATTTCGAACTACTACTTAGATTCAAGAATATCTGTTAAGAACTTATGCTATATAGAAAG